CATGGTTCGAAGCTGGGTGTTGTGTACTATCAGTTGTTTCAACCGAATGAAACCAACATAAATGAACGTTACCGAACACAATCGATGCGTTTGAGCCGTGCATTGAAGGAAAAATGGCCACAATTCCAGCAAAGGCACGATTAAGTAATTATTCAACATAACAACGCTCAACCACATGTTGCTCATGTAGTTAAAAAAATAGTTGGATTACTACTTGTTCCGATCCATAGAACATAGTGTGGCTAAGTAGCGCTTCCAATTTTATGAAAATACGAAAAATTGGATCGATTGGCAGATGGACAATACTTTGAAAAATAATAATGTACACAATTTTTCACGATAAAGCCTTGAATTTACAAAAAAATCCTTCAAAATTAATTTAAAGTCCTTGTAATAAAAATGACAAATAATGAAACATTTTGCCTCATCAAATATCTCAAAAAATAAAAAAAAAAATACGATTTTCTTTTAATAGTTACCAAAATGCATATTTGCTACGAAAACAGCTAACAATATATTTTAATTTTTAGTTTAAATGATTATCGCCGATTTCTCTAAAACTTCTCTTAATTTCTAAGGTTATCCGTGTTACTGAAAATGCTAAAGAGATTTAGGTAATTTTTTTCTGACAAATACATTTTTTAAATGGGTTAGACCGAAATAAAACTAGTAAGAAAAGAACTGTACAGTAACACTAAAAATATACAAAGCTATTATAAAATTTACGTCACTATAGTATACATGTAGTTCCTTTTAACTTTCAAGTCTTCTAAGTCTGAGTGAATTGGTAACTCACCACACCAGAATCTACAAAGAAAATGCAAGAACTATTTGAAGGTATTCGGATCTTTTTGTAACACAAAATGTGACAGTCAGTCCCTTTTCCAGAAAAACGTTCGGGAAAAAAGAAACCCCCGAGCATTTTGCATTTATTTATAAACAATAACTTTTCTGACAGGTATTCCTAACAATTTCACAGTTAAAAATGTGCGTTAAGCTAAAAATAAACAAAACCGAACTTACCTTGCGTAAGATTTGCAAAGCATTTGCAAAGTGTTGTGTAATATTGCACTAGAGGTAACTTAATACTGAAATTAAATTATGAATTAGTGAAAAAATCATAAAACGTAAATGGTCAATGAAAATAACAAAAGAAAGAGAACGGTGTGCAGTATGATATGTAAAGGTTGGTCTAAATTTGCTATTACTTGTGGATACAATATAAAACAATCTAAAGATACATAGAAAACTAGAATACTCATTCGTTTTCCAAAAATTTATAACATGCCAAAGAAATTAATCTCTTAAAAATACTGTTTATCATATTTTTAAATACGTCAAGGAAAATCAGTTCAAGTGGCTCTTTGAAAATAAAACAACTATTAAAACATAGTTTTTAATGCAAAAACCTTAACATTTTCAGTACATAGGATCGGGAACTAAGTTAATTCTCCATATTTTCGAAAACGGGGGCGATTATTTTGCTTAAAGCCCAACTCAACGTAGTATTTAGGTTAAGTAGCGTTGTGAAGCCTATTGTACAGTGTATTTACAAACGTTCTACGACGGCGTAGCTCATACGTTTTTCTGTATAAGAACGAACCATTTCCAGCTCGTCTCATCTAAAAATAAGAATAATGAAGTAAAAATTGAGAACTTTTACTTTTTTGTTTATCTAATTCGTAATGTTTAGCAAGAATACATTAATTTTCTAATCTTTCCTAAGACTTCTTAAAAAAAATATGAAAGCCTATATGAAACATTCTATTTTTATTGCTAAAAGGGCCAAAAATGTTGTTAACTATAAAGCAACAACATCGATGTCGGGTCTCATGCAAGGGAGAAAAAAAATTTTCAGTATAAATTGTCTCGGGGGCCTCAAAATAAGTGCTCGATCATGCTCTTACAAGTGCTATGTATTTAAATGAGATGTACTGCACTCTTACAACAATTTTTATCATATCAATCAATGTTTTATGCTGGGTTCACTATTTAGTTTTTTTTTTTTAAATGAATTTACTGCAACGGTATAAAACATTTTTTGCCATTTTGCAAATAAAAATTAAAACAAATGTTAATACAGTTTCATCTTTGTACGTAGTAGCACAGACCATATAGACTGAACGTTAGGAGGCTGGCAAGGTCTAGCAGTAACCTAGTAGGCCTTGCGATGTTAGTCATTCATGGAGTAAACTTTGCTTCTCCGTGGTTTGGCTTCTAGACCGATCGAAATAACTCATTTAGAGGAGAAAAAAAAGAAAATTGTTACCTGGACTTTTATAAGTGGAAATGGTAAAGGCACTTATAATAAACGAAAAAAAATAAATGTGTGAGCACGGGCGGCGGAGGGTTGATTTGGGGGGCTGTGAAAAATTGTATCATTGGAATTTCTGGCGAAAGTTGACGTCAAAAAAAAATATCTAATACAAAAGTTGTAGATCATGCAAAAATTTACAACTTTTGTAGAGGTCACTTTTTCCGAAAAAATGTAAAAAACAAGTTTTTTTCAGATTTTTTCGATTTTTATTTCTTATTTCTGCAAAAATAATTTAATTTTGACGAAACTTAGTGAAAGTATACCTTTCTCTGTCTTAAATAACCACACACTGTTTTAGATGAAAAAAATCAAGATGTTTACGAGATATTCATTTTTTCCTGTGTAAAACACTTTTTCTTCAAAGCAAAATTCTACTTAGAACTTACTGGTGATCATTTTTTCGTTTTCACATATACTTTTTGGTGAAATAAAAAAATCTGTAATCAAAGTTCAAAAACATGCTCAAAAATGCAAAAAAAAATAAAAAATGACGCAACAATGAATTTTTCAGTAATCGTTGATAATTTGTTTAAATTTAAAAAAAAAACAAAAACTGATTACACCATTCAATTGTACGGAAAAAATACAAAAAAAAACTGTCTCGTTGTTTGACCCAAAACTTTATTTTTGTACAGTATTACTATAAACATAAGTCGAATAGTGAATAAAAAAAATAAATATTTTTTTTTTCGTAGGATCGATTAGTGTACTTAATTTTGATAAATTCATAGATATACAGTGTGTCCCAGATAAGGATGGGATAGCATTAGGATCTAGGAAACGGTAAGATACGGGGTGGCTTAGATTAGAAAAAAGTTGTGTTTTTTATACCTAACAATATGCCGCTTAGAAAGTTTTAAAATTCCGAGTAGTTCCGGAGATATCCGAAAAAACCCAAAATTTTTCAAAATTGTTTAATTTTTTTCTGGCTTTATTTGAAAACCAATTTTAAAATAATTTATCATTTGTGCATTTGTAATTTGACTTAGATGTTTATAGCAATACTGTACAAAAATAAAGTTTTTGGTCAAACAATGAGACAGTTTTTTAATTTTTTTCCGTAGAATTGAATGGTGTAATCAGTTTTTGGAATGTTTTTTAATTTAAACAAATTATCAACAATTACTGAAAAATTCATTGTTGCGTCATTTTTTATTTTTTTGCATTTTTGAGCATGTTTTTGAACTGTGATTACAGATTTTTTTATTTCACCAAAAAGTATATGTCAAAACGAAACAAATGATTACCGGCAGAACTGTGTACGATTTTTTTAAGTAGAATTTTTCTTTGAAAAAAAAAAGTGTTTTAGACCGGAAGAAATGAATATCCCGGAAACTTTTTGATTTTTTTATCTAAAAAAATTTGTGGTTCTTTAAGACACAGAAGGTATACTTTCACCAAGTTTCTTCAAAATTTAATTATTTTTACGGAAATGAGAAATAAAAAAGGAAAAATCATAAAAAACCTATTTTTCACATTTATCTCGGAAATTTTGAGGTTATCTTAAAAAGTTACCCCTACAAAAGTTGTAGATTTTTGCATGACCTACAACTTTTGTATTGGATACTTTTTTGTTTGATGTCAACTTTCGCCAGAAATCCCAATGATACAATTTTTCACAACTTTTCAACCCCCCAATTCAACCCTCCACCACCCCTGCTCAACATTTATTTTTTTTTAGGTTTAATATAATCCCTTTTACCATTTCCACTTATAAAAGTCCTCGTAACAATTTTTTTTTTCTCCAAGTGTAATTTGGTTGGACGATTCACCATTATGTGCAGTCTATATGGTCTGTGCAAGTAACGGCAATTATGGTCTACTCTGTTAGAAGCTATCGCCGAATAATAAAATTATTAAGTTCTAAAATTACTAATTAGAAATTTGTGTCAAAAAATAAGTTTTAGTACATTAATGTAATACTTTTGCCCAGCGACTACTATATTATGGAACTCCTTTTAGTAAAATTAAAAAATATGTTTTATGCTATGCTATTAGATCAAATTAAAATTTTCCAAAATTTTAGAAGTCGGTATTTACTTTAAAAATTGATAAACAGTATTTTGAAAATTTGACTAAATCAGTCAGCTCTTCCTTAAGAAAATTAAACCCTATAGGGCAAACATTTTGCTGAATAAAATTTGAGTATAATTTATGTTACAAAAATGGCTTGCCCACGTTTTATCATCTAGTACCTTGGTTTCCTTCGAAAAAATTTAAAATCAACCAAAACGTACATATTCATAAACATTTGTGTACAGAAATACGCTAGATATTAATCACCAATTTACTTTTAACTATTGGTACGTTTGAACTACTGCAAGCCAAGGTGTTAGATGTAAAAGCAATTTTTCTGTAAAAAAAAATTCTACCGATAAAATAACCATGCAAGTCAAGCAAAATTAAATACCATACTGCACTAAGAAGCCAAATGAAACAAAAAATAAAATAAAACAATTTGTTTTATTGTATACATGCCACATGCAGCAATATTATAATTAGGACATCCGTAATCCGTGAAACGATTCAACGTTTTGCGGATTATCCGCAAAAATAAAATGCATTCCAAATAAACTATATACACATCCATCAAAAATAAAGAATATTTCTCTAGTTAATAATATTAATCTAACTCGATAATTATAAAATTAAAGCATTCTTACAAAAAATATATCTACTTTAATACAAATTTAAATATTCTTTAGTAAATATATAAAATATTTTTCAATATACACAAAAAAAATAACTATTTATTGGTAGTTATGTGTATAAGAAGCCACGATTAAGTTTGTGCCGGTCGTAACTAGTGTTTAAAAAAAATGATATTAAAGGTAGAGAAAAGATTCTAGTAGAAAATTGTCAGTAGTGTAAATGCAATAAATAAGTAGAAATATCAAAAAACAGGTTAATACGTTTGTTTGTAAATTGCTATTTTTATAATAAAATTCTGTCTTTATGGCACAAAATTATAAACATTCTTTCATTTGTATAGAAAAAGGTTTTCAAATTAGTTGCTGACTTTAGTTTACGTGATAAAAGTTTCAAATTTGGACCTTCAAAAAGCAAAATGTATTAAAATATTTGGTGATCCTACTGAAACTATTTTACTTGTTTACATATTTACGGCTAGATAACCAGTCAAATGTTAAGGATGAGAATACTCGGTGACAACACCTAAAAAATTTTCATCACAATAGATTATTAAGGAGAGTCGTTGATTCCTAAGTTTGACTGGTTGTCTACAAATATACAAACAAGGCTATTATCAATAAATAAATAAAAATAAATCAATAAATAATTAAAAAATTAACAATTACCTTAAAAATAATAGTCATTTTGTATTTTTTATTTACTTAAAACCTGTGTTTTTGCGCATTTCTACTTTCGCTTGTGTTCTAATAAAATTAAAAAAAAAATCTATAGGAAACGACTGACTACATGACATCGACAAACATTTCACACGGATTCCCCATAGCTATCTTAAATGATTGTCTACTACCGGCAATATCTTTGGACTGAGCAGCCGCCACTTGCGTCCCGCTGCTCTGGTCCGATCCGTTGGAGCTGCCGTTGCCGTTCCCGCTGGCCACGGGTAGAGCTGAACGTGGTCCCAGGGACGTCAGGTCGCTGTCGGACGCGCTGCTGTGGCCAGCTGCCGCGTCCTTCATCTGATCCGATCCGTTGGAGGAGCCTCCTTTATGGGCAAGAAGAAAAGCAATCTGATGAATGACAACTACCACCCAGCACTCGTAGGTTATCGTCAGGCGAATAGGTTGATAAAGAGTTTCGTGTATACCAAAATTAAATGTACGACTGTTCTGTTGAATCCCACAACTGTTTTAAAATCTCATAAAACTTTTATAAATTACAAAATAAATTGTTATTTTTTATGAATTTTTCAATTTTTCTTTTATTTTTGGAAAATAAAATAATAGAGATGTCTTTTTAATGTTTTAGATACATTTAACTCGAGTTTAAGAAGGTTACTCAAAAGGTTTTTGACACAAATTAATAAAAAAGTTCAATAAATCTAAAACATTTGGAAGAAAAAGAAAATTACGAGGGAAAATTTTTAACTTCTCCACTTCTAAGCCTCTATTTGTTGTAAACAATCAAAAACTAAAGCTGTAAACAAAACTTCATAGAAATCGCTTCAGGTATTTTCTTATAACTAAAACAAAACTTTTGTTTTAACACTGTAATTCAAAACAAAAGTATTTCTGTACCCTTTTTTATAAAAACTCTTTTTGTTAATTTACGTTGTAGAACCTGCTATTAAATTTAATTAGAGGTGGCTGGTGGAAATTGTAGTGGTCATATTTTGATAATAAAACATGGGACCCATAGGGGATGATTTCTGTGCTAGGTGTTTCATAACAAAAAAATTTCAACTTAAATTTGGAAAATGAAAAACTAAAATAGGGGTTGCCGACTCTGAAATATCGAAAAGGGTTCAACATATATTTGCAAAATACTTTTTGTAATCAGCTGACTGATACTTTTTTTAATTTTTATTTTTCAAACTTCATAATGCTATAACTTATGGAAAATTAAAGTTATGAGAAAAATATAAAAAAACCGATACCTGCATCTATCAAAACTGATTACAAAAAATTCGAGATATCAGGGCCGGCAACCCCTAATTTATTTTTTATTTCACAAATTTCTTTCAAAACTTTTTAATTTAATAAAAATCCCCCCCTAAAAAATTGTATGGTTCCCAAGCTTTATTATCAAGAAATGACCAATTTTTTTACTAGAAAACTATCAATTTTATCGAAAAATTACACGAGGTAAAAAAGTTGCGCAATAAATCAGTCTTCCCAATAGATATTTTTAAATAAATAATTTGCTGCATATAAAAAATTTCTAATAAAATATTGCAATGGGATTGACTGTTTCACTCCGATTGACTGTTTCACTCCTTTATAAAATACGCCAATGATCGAGCAAATATTGAAAAGTTGTTTCTTTATTAGTAGGATGCTCATACCAAATTTCGTGTCTCTAGCATTACTCATGTTAAAGAAAAAAATTAAAATGTGAATTTCAATCTGCTCCTTTAAGAGTTTATATCGCCTCAGGGGGGTATTTTTACTTCAATCCTCTTAATTTTGGCTCTAGATTCACTGGTACCATTTTTGCTACTTCATTTAGAAACACCCTGCATAATTCTAAATTTATTTAATGTTCAATTCTAAATAAAAAATGTATACTTATTATAAATCGATAAACTCATCCATTTTCGAGACACAGACATTTTAAGTTTTTGAGATTCAGCGGGAATTAAATTAAAAAAATATTTTTTCCAAAAAGTAGTAGGCATTGACATAATAAATTCACAGCACATTATACTCTAGAAGTAAGAGAATATCTCCCACCGTTGGATTAGACGCAGTAACGAAGTATGTACCTTGGCCTGTACGTAGCCCTGATTTAAATCTGCCGGATTTTTCTTTTGGAGCTATCTTAAATCTCTAATTTACAAAGACATTATTAATAGTCAAGAACAGCTGTGGGCAAATATTCAAGAATCAGTTCATATTATCAAACCACATAGAACTTTATTTAACATCAGACAAAATTTAAATAAGTGCACTGTAGTCGCTGGTGGTTGCTTTGAGAATCTTTTATGATTAATAATTTGTTAAGATATGCACAATAACATTTTCAGTTGCTGTAATGTTTGTCTTAATTCTTAATTCAGGCTTGGTATCTTAAGACCTGCTAATTTTCTAATTTAATTCCCGCCGAATCTCAAAAACTTAAAACGTCCGTATCTCGAAAATGGTTGTTTATCGATTTCTAACAAGTACAACTTTTTTATTTAAAATTGAACGTAGTTCAATAATTTCTAGTTAAAAAAATTCAAAATTGTAAAATACAAAAAGTTACTCATATTTTTACATTGATAGGACAGTACAACTAGCGCCCCCTAGACATGACCCCAACACTGTTTGCATATTCGTATTTGCCACTTCAACAAACGTAGAATAAACAATCGTTCCATACATACTGAAAATATAGCAAAAAATCGAAAATATTTTTTCAACTTTAACACCCTGTAGGGAAAGGAGCAATAATTGACTAGGGCATGTTTGGCTCAATCGGTATATTTTGATGTTAACAATCTGCCATTAAGCTGTGTACCATTATTAATGACTCACCCTGTATATTTGTAACCGGTTTGAGTCGAGACTCACTCTTTTAATCTCAATTGTTTATGTATTATAGACACAAAATTTCATATACAGGTTCGGAAAGTTCCCATGGTACATTGGCCGTTGCGTGAGAGCGATAAAGTAAGTCATAGAAATCAGTGCAATAGACAGGGATGGTTACATTGAAGACGTTTCATAATCTGAATAGTCACTCCCACTTCTAACCCGAAACGGGCGGTGATTATTCAGATTGTGAAACGTCTTCACTATAGCCATCCTTGTCTATCGCACGGATTTCTTTACTTTACTTTGTCGCTCTCATGTAAAGATGGACCATGTGGATTTTCCAGCCCTGTATAACACACTGTATCCCAAAAACGAAGGCTTTAACAAGAATTGTTATAACAGAAATATTTTTAAATCTAGACGATGTAAGTGGTCCATCATTTTGGGCATGTTGTCATGACACAGCTTGTGTAAAAAAAATAATACACGAAATTATTTAACTTTTTGTCGCCTTTTTAATAACAAAAATACATAATTTAATGTACCTGTAAGAACTTACGTGAAATATATGCCCCCTAGAAGGCCATCCCAACAAAAGTATTTAGTCCACGGGCCCACGTACAAAGAAAAAAATTATTACTAGGAAGCTGTAACTTTGCTTGCAGCTTAAGTTTGACGAGTCTCTCAAGATTTGACTATGAGGAAAATTCAACAGTGGTAAGTTTTCCCGTGATTTTCAGGAGAACATGTCAATCTGGTATAAACATGGAATGTTATGACCAGCACTTTTTTAAAGTGTTAAGTTTAAATGAGATATATTTTTTTTAAACCCCCCAAAAAATTTGTCCGACAAAAATGTTGGTATTTTGAGTTTGTCCCACGTCCCAAATATGTCGATTTAGTGACATTATGGTTGGTGACAACCAGCAAGCTGATTTTTCTGGGAGGGTTTGGTAATAAGATTTGAAATGAAAGTATCTTATTGTCCGACAAAATTCTTGAGAAGTTTTTGCAGTCCGACGCCCCGAAGATGTCGATTTAACGACAACATGGTCGGTGATAACCAGCAATCTGGTTTTGATTTTTTTCTGTAATAATTGAAATGTATAACACAATAATATACTTGTCTGCCAAAAGGATTGGAAAGTTTGCCTTAAAAATGGGAAAAATTACTATTTTTGTGGTATACAGGGTGTTCCTAAATAAATGTCGCAACGGAAAACTGTAAATTCCTCTTGAAAAAAGAAACATTATTTTACTCTTCCATTTTTCTCTCCGGACTTTCACTTTCGAGGTACACGGTGTCAAAACTTTAATTTTTTTTTTAATTTTTTGCTAATATCTTAGGAACCGTTTGAACTACAGGACTGAGTTTTTGTACATGCATTACCACTATTAATAGTTACTTTTTCGCATCCTTCTCGAATTCACTGAACGTGCCAGTGGTGGAGATTTTAAGGTATCGTAAGGGTTTTTCCCTACCAACTTTTACGCCACTGGAAAAATGAACATTTGATAGCAAATTTTGAAGCGCCAATGAATATTAGACAAAAAGAGTTCTCTTGGTTCATTGCTCTAAAGTCAACCGTTTTCAAGAAAAATGACTTTATTGAACAAAAACAAACATTTTGCTGACATTTTGAAGATATTTTATAATTTAAAAGACGGGTAGTAATAATTAAAAATTTTAACGAAATTTAACAGCATTTGCAACAAGTAGCTATTAATTAATAGTGGTAATGTNAAATGTATAATAATATTTTTAAAATTGGTTTAAAATTGGTTTAATTGGTTTTTCAAGAACAAAACTATGTGTAAACTGTTTGTCAAAACAAGATTGCAAATTTTAATTTAAAAAAACACAAGCAAAAATTTATGCATTCATTGTACAGTTACCATTTTTTATAAAATAGTTACAATAGTTTATAAAATAATATGTACATATAAGTTTTTTGAACAAAGAAATCATTTTGATGGAGATTAATTAAATTAGTTAGACATAATTATTTATGAATTTCAATTTCTGTTGCTCCTGTTAACAAGATAATTTTCTTATTTATTCTTCTTTATTTTTTCATTAAAAAATTTATTATTTTATAGCAGAATGAACATTAGGTACCACAAAAATAGTTAGTTTTACCCATTTTTAAGGCAAATTTTCTAATCTTTTTGGCGGACAACTATAGTATTGTGTTATACATTTCAATTATTAGAGAAAAAAATCAAAACCAGGACCATGTTGTCGTTAAGTCGACATCTTCGGGGCGTCGAACTGCAAAAACTTCTCAAGAATTTTGTCGGACAATAAGATACTTTCATTTCAAATCTTATTACCAAACCCTCCCAGAAAAATCAGCTTGCTGGTTGTCACCAACCATAATGTCACCAAATCGACATATTTGGGGTGGGGAATAAACTCAAAATACCAAAATTTTTGTCGGACAAATATTTAGGGGGTTTAAAAAAAATATCTTTCTTTTAAACTTTAAAAAAAGTGCTGGTCATAACAATCCATGTTTATGCCAGATTGACAGGTTTTCCTGAAAATCACGGGAAAACTTACCACTGTTGAATTTTCCTCATGGTCAAATCTTGGGAGACTTGTCAAACTTAATCTGCACGCCAAAGTTACAACTTGCTGGTAATCATTTTTTTTTTGTACGTGGGCCCGTGGACTAATTTTTGCATGGTCCTAAATACACCCTTTTTTCGTTCGTTCATGCAATTCCTTACTATTGGCGGCCACAAGGTTCAACAGGAACGTTCAAAGAAACAAACAAAAACTAAGAAACAAAATATTTATTTATAAAAAGAAAAATAATAATAATCGAATCTAGTTTATTTCCAAATGATCGTTAAAACTTACAAATAAATGATGATGGAATAAAAACACCTGGCAAGTGAAGCTTAACTGAAGAATGGCACAAAATTCTGCCAGATATTCAACTGTACAAAATAAAATTAATCAAACACAACTAAGGCGATGAAGACATGGGTGAATGGGTGAGTATTTGAAGTAACTAAAACTAATATTTAACAAAACAACATGAGAAATAAACTGAAAATGTGTGCGAAGATAAAAAAAATTAATTATAAGAATAATATTAATATAAATAAAGCACTGTTATAGGCAATAGTCACAGAAGTTATGATATACTTGAAAAAAAATGAAAAGTATAGGGACGTTGAATAAGTTCCTGCTGTTTTCCAACAGATGGCGTTACCAGAACTGCCTGTGTGTAGTTTAAGTTAGTAACGCACCTATAAAGAAGTAATATAAGCAAGCTTGAAATTTAGTGTATGTTTGTTCGCCGAAGTGTTAACTACTTTTTTTTTCAGCAAATAGACAACCAGCGATACATTTTTATAGATTTTATTACAGTTTATCTAAATATGAATCAATGCACAAATAACAGACTTTCCTCCATTCTAACACAGTTTTTCTACAAAATGGAGTTAGGTTGACACTAAAATTACTTTTTGTTGTAAAGAAATTTGTAATTTGCTGCTTTTGAACAAGCAGCATCGTAAATTATAAATTTCTTTACACCAAAAAGCAATTTGAGTTTCAAACTAAGGCCATTTTATAGAAAATCTGCGTTAAAATGGGGGGAAGTCTGTTATTTGTGCATTAATTCATATTTAGAAAAACTGTATAATAAAATCTAAAAAAATGGCTTATTTGCTATAGAGCCCTCTTAAACATGTCAGAGAATGACCGCAAAAATCGCCCGTTTTTTCACAATTGGCAGAGAACTAAAGAAAATAGATAAAAATATGTTTTTGGTCTCAAATTACTCGTCGTAAAAAATTAAGATGAGCATAGCTTTGTTTCTTGAAAATTTTTCAAAATGAATGAATTTTTCTATCGAATGATTCTTGATACAAAGAAAGATTTATTCTCATGACTGAAATAAGCATGTTGAAATAGAAAATCCACCCTTAAGGGCGCTCAGGGGGTGGAATCATCCCCAAAAATAGAGAATATCAGAAATAATTGTAAAAATTCCAAAAAAAAAATGTATGAAGATAATTCACATGCTAATAGTTTTTATATCAATTGGTAATATTCAAATTCTTCATTTCTGGCATTTCTTCAACCTCTAAGTAGGGGTGATTTTTAAAATTTTCAAAATACTAAAAGCTATGCTCTTTTCAGTTTTTTACGACAAGTAAAACATATTTTCATGTATTTTTTTTAATTCTATGCGAATTGTGAAAAATGGGCGAAAATCACAGGTTTTTTGCGGTCACTCTTTCGTACCAAAGAAAGAGTATTTGTGGGAATTTTAATGCAATACTTTATTCAAAAGAAATCTGCAGCTCAAGAATTCTTGTCGAGACTTATAACGACCATGCTCTGTCGTAAACAACATGCAGAGATTCGTTTAGATGCTTAAAAAAATAACGATTTTGATGTTGAAGATAAACCGAAACAGTTTGAATATAAAGAATTGGAGGCGTAACTTATTGAAGACTCATGTCAGACAATAGCTGATCTTGTAAAATCACTAGGGGTTTCGAAACGTTTGAAAGCATTAAGAATGATTCAAAAGCAAGGACATTGGGTACCGTACGAGTCGAAGCCGAGAGACATTGAACGGAGTCATTGCACGTGTGAACAGCTGCTTCACAATGGAAAAGGAAAGGTTTTTTGCATTGATAACTGGCGATGAAAAATGGATATGCTACGATAATCCTGAATGTAGAAAATCGTGGGGCAAGCCGGGCCTTGCGTCAACATCGTCGTCAATGCGGAATATTCATGGTTCCAAGCCTCTGTTCTGGCTTTGGTGGGAGTAGTTTACTATGAGCTGCTCAAACTGAATGAAACCATCAGGGAAGATCATTAATGACTACAAATGATGCGTTTGAGCCGAGAATTGAAGAAAAAATGGCCGTTATACGAGCAGAGACATGACAAAGTGATTTTGCTCGGCCACCAGTGAAAATCTACTTGGAAATTCTTAAACGGAAAGCCCTACCCTACCCGCCACGATCACCAGATATTGCCAATTCAGATTATCGATGGCATATGGCTGAACAGCACTTCCATTATTATGAAGACGCCAAAAAATAGGTAGACTCTTTGATATCCTTAAAAGACGTGTCGTTTTTCCGATGTAGCATTAAAATGTTGCCATAAAGACCGAAATATACTTTCAGTGACATTTTTTTTTACAATTTTTTTTTAAATAAAGGAAAGATTTTCACGAAAAATCAGCGAAAACTTATTCAACATCCCATTAATTTATTTTTTGTGACAATGTCAATTTCTTGTTTAGCGTTTTTTAAGAATTCAGTTATTAATATTACTATTTTCAATATAATAGTCAAAATTATATATTTAATTAAAATTAAAACAGTTCCAGAATAATATTTATAACGATTTCCTTCTAAATATATGATATATTAATGTGTTAAGCGTCTCGGTCCTAGACTATGAGATCCAGTTTATTTCCCGCAAATAAAAAAAAAAACTTGCAAACAAAATTAACAACAGGAGGTATATCACTTGAAACCGAGGCGGAGTAGCGCCCTATCGCGTGGTATATCCTAACGGGTGTGGTACGTTTAAAAAAATTCCTCAACCTCACGAGGATTGTATTAAAAGGACATCTGAAAAAGAGGTTTTTACATTCTGGCATCTTGTTTGACGAGAACAGCTACATACCTAGGCTAGAGGTCCTAACTACATCTAGGTTTTACATAATTTATAGTATATTAGGCATTTACCACTAGACTACCACTTATATCACTGGATAAGATTTTGTACTATCTGAATCTAGGAGAAGACAAAAGTGTTCATTAATATAATGTAAGGAGAAGGGAATTATGGGAGATTGACCAAGATCCTTGTGGCACACCAATAGTTTTCAATGCATTCTCATAAAAATTTTATATAAATTGATCCAAGATGTATTCGAAGGTGTTTCAACGTTTAAAATTCAAAGAGCATACAATAAATCCGAGAAAATTCTTACAAAAATAAATGAGTGTTGGATTTTTTTCAACGAAATATTACTTTATCAGGAACCAATTTAGAAATGCTAGAAGATGATAAAACATCAAAAATATATTCTTAATTTTGTAATTTCAAGGAATTTTTATAACGAGGCAAATTCCAGAGCTAAATCATTTGAATTTTAAATATTTTTTAATAATCAAACTTTTATCGGATCTGTTCTATACTCTCCAACAAATTTGCAAGTATTGATTTAGAATGTCGTTCTACTTTTTTAATTAGGCTATTGATTATGTCTTAAAAAGCAGGGTACTAAGCAACTACAACGTTGATGGGTTTTTATTGCATGAATCGTTCAAACGGTTATTCAGAAAGAAAAAAAATAAAATAATATTGTCATAAATTCAGTAAAAACCGAAAAAAAAGGCAAAGTTTGAACGACCATAACTCAGTCTATTTTCATCGTGAAAACTTTTATAACCCATCATTTTGTACGAAATTTTATATACTTTTTTTTCTATGAAGCAATGCCTATAACTATCTCAGCTCAGAAAAAATTATTTGCATAAAAGTAAAAAAAACAAAAAATTGAATTTTTTGCATTTTTTTTTGTTAAATTAGTTTTAATATATTTTGCAGTAAATAAATTTTTTAAATAAGCTATTTCGATAGAAAATCTCATTATTTACAAAATATTTCCTATGCAATACCCTCAAATTTTGCTTAGTTTTCGAGATATACTCAAAAAACCATAAGGGTTGCATCTCCCCCTTACACCCTCTAATTTAAGAGCACTGTGCGGTTTTTTCATTCTAAATAACCATTTGAAGGATTCATGGAATAAAAACCCATCAACGTTGTAGTTCCATACCATATGACATAATCAATAGCCGAAATGTAAGAGTCCTCAAATTGCAAGCACTAGCCGAATTCAACATTTAAGGTTACGCTTGTATTCGGATAATTTCTTATAGAAAATACAAGAATTAAAATATCAAAAATTCTGAAACTGAGTTTCTAGAAGCATCACTTCCATAAGTAAAAAATTATATAAACAGCATAATTACATAGGAATTCATCAATAATATTAAAGTGGAAAAATTATGACATTATTGAAACTTCAGAATTAGGGATTTTTATTATATTTATACTGACAATTCCATTATACGTATGTTATTATGTTTCTAAGTCGGCAGTGCCAAAAACGGCCAATAGTAGAGGCTAGTCAAAATTACAATGAACACTGAAGAATTTGTGTTTATCATCAGAAGTGCAGAAAANTTGTCGAGACTTATAACGACCATGCTCTGTCGTAAACAACATGCAGAGATTCGTTTAGATGCTTAAAAAAATAACGATTTTGATGTTGAAGATAAACCGAAACAGTTTGAATATAAAGAATTGGAGGCGTAACTTATTGAAGACTCATGTCAGACAATAGCTGATCTTGTAAAATCACTAGGGGTTTCGAAACGTTTGAAAGCATTAAGAATGATTCAAAAGCAAGGACATTGGGTACCGTACGAGTCGAAGCCGAGAGACATTGAACGGAGTCATTGCACGTGTGAACAGCTGCTTCACAATGGAAAAGGAAAGGTTTTTTGCATTGTATGATAACTGGCGATGAAAAATGGATATGCTACGATAATCCTGAATGTAGAAAATCGTGGGGCAAGCCGGGCCTTGCGTCAACATCGTCGTCAATGCGGAATATTCATGGTTCCAAGCCTCTGTTCTGGCTTTGGTGGGAGTAGTTTACTATGAGCTGCTCAAACTGAATGAAACCATCAGGGAAGATCATTAATGACTACAAATGATGCGTTTGAGCCGAGAATTGAAGAAAAAATGGCCGTTATACGAGCAGAGACATGACAAAGTGATTTTGCTCGGCCACCAGTGAAAATCTACTTGGAAATTCTTAAACGGAAAGCCCTACCCTACCCGCCACGATCACCAGATATTGCCAATTCAGATTATCGATGGCATATGGCTGAACAGCACTTCCATTATTATGAAGACGCCAAAAAATAGGTAGACTCTTTGATATCCTTAAAAGACGTGTCGTTTTTCCGATGTAGCATTAAAATGTTGCCATAAAGACCGAAATATACTTTCAGTGACATTTTTTTTTACAATTTTTTTTTAAATAAAGGAAAGATTTTCACGAAAAATCAGCGAAAACTTATTCAACATCCCATTAATTTATTTTTTGTGACAATGTCAATTTCTTGTTTAGCGTTTTTTAAGAATTCAGTTATTAATATTACTATTTTCAATATAATAGTCAAAATTATATATTTAATTAAAATTAAAACAGTTCCAGAATAATATTTATAACGATTTCCTTCTAAATATATGATATATTAATGTGTTAAGCGTCTCGGTCCTAGACTATGAGATCCAGTTTATTTCCCGCAAATAAAAAAAAAAACTTGCAAACAAAATTAACAACAGGAGGTATATCACTTGAAACCGAGGCGGAGTAGCGCCCTATCGCGTGGTATATCCTAACGGGTGTGGTACGTTTAAAAAAATTCCTCAACCTCACGAGGATTGTATTAAAAGGACATCTGAAAAAGAGGTTTTTACATTCTGGCATCTTGTTTGACGAGAACAGCTACATACCTAGGCTAGAGGTCCTAACTACATCTAGGTTTTACATAATTTATAGTATATTAGGCATTTACCACTAGACTACCACTTATATCACTGGATAAGATTTTGTACTATCTGAATCTAGGAGAAGACAAAAGTGTTCATTAATATAATGTAAGGAGAAGGGAATTATGGGAGATTGACCAAGATCCTTGTGGCACACCAATAGTTTTCAATGCATTCTCATAAAAATTTTATATAAATTGATCCAAGATGTATTCGAAGGTGTTTCAACGTTTAAAATTCAAAGAGCATACAATAAATCCGAGAAAATTCTTACAAAAATAAATGAGTGTTGGATTTTTTTCAACGAAATATTACTTTATCAGGAACCAATTTAGAAATGCTAGAAGATGATAAAACATCAAAAATATATTCTTAATTTTGTAATTTCAAGGAATTTTTATAACGAGGCAAATTCCAGAGCTAAATCATTTGAATTTTAAATATTTTTTAATAATCAAACTTTTATCGGATCTGTTCTATACTCTCCAACAAATTTGCAAGTACTGACTTATAATGTCGTTCCATTTTTTAATTAGGCTATTAACTATGTCTTAAAAAGCAGGGTACTAAGGAACTACAACGTTGATGGGTTTTTATTGCATGAATCGTTCAAATGGTTATTCAGAATGAAAAAACCACGGAGTGCTATTAAATTAGAGGGTGGAAATTGGAGATAGGGGTGAAAATGCAACCCTTACAGTTGGAGTATATCTCGAAATCAAAGCAACCCCAAAAACATGAAAATTGTCTATTTTTTTGAGGTTTAGCTCGCTATATCAACGAAAAATCAAGATTTTTCAAATATTTTTGAGGTTAGAATCGATATATGATATTATACCATCAAACAAACTCAAGGTCACGTTCCAGCGACCTGAAAAACATGAGAAATATCTGTTCAGATAAGATTTATGGGTGAAATCGACAGTTCAGTTCCCTTTGAATTGACGATTTCAGGCTTTATAGCCTTACAAGTCACTATATGAAATTCGCCATCTTGAATTTTTGAAAAATAACTTCATACTCATGTCCAACGATGTCAAAGGCACCTGTTTAGACTATTTGGGTATGAATTTGTCATTAATCTGATTACTGTGAGAAATTTATCGGACAAATCTTTATTTTTCTCATACTTCTAGGCGCCATATTATGGCCGCCATCTTGGATTTTTCAATTCTGCCAATTAGCATCTTAAAGTACTTGGAAAGACAAATTTTTTTAGCCGAAAACCATCTTCATAGGTGTTCTCAAATTTTGGGCACAGGCTTGATCGATTTGACGTGGATTGTTCCATATATAAAACCATACAGGGTCGGAAAGTACCAAATAAGAAGTGGATCTTATTTGTGGAAGGGCGAAATGGGCGGTGACTATGAAACGCCTTCATTATAGCCATCCTTCTCTATCGCATGGATTTCTATGTCTTACTTTATCACTCTCACGTAACGGCAGATGAACCATCGTTACTTTCCGAACCTGTATAACTTTTATTTATTATTGATAAATTAATTTAACGTATGTCTTTATTAAATAAAAATTAATTATGTACTCAAAAATAACTATTAAAACAATATTGTCATAAATTCAGTAAAAACTGAAAAAAATGGCAAAGTTTGAACGACCATAACTCAGTCTATTTTCATTGCGAAAACTTTTATAACCCATCATTTTGTAGGAAATTTTATATACTTTTTTTTCTATGAAGCAATGCCTATAACTATCTCTGCTCAGAAAAAATTATTTGCATAAAAGTAAAAAAAAAACAAAAAATTGAATTTTTTGCATTTTCTTTTTTGTTAAATTGGTTTTAATATATTTTGCAGTAAATAAATTTTTTAAATAAGCTATTTCGATAGAAAATCTCATCTACAAAATATTTCCTATGCAATAAAAACCACAGAAATGAGACAACCCCCAAATCCAAAAGCCAAAGGCTTGTGCGGAAGGGGGCTACACTTGAAAAAACGCGGACAAACACCCATTATCCATCGACATTGCTAGTGCCGACACCGGGGATCGAACCCGGACCAGAGTAGGAAGCCTAGCCGAGAAATGCTTGCCACCGCACTCTCGACCGACTGCGCTACTGTGGCGTGGCGATGCAATATCCTCAAATTTTGCTTCGTTTTCGAGATATACTCAAAAACCATAAGGGTTGCATCTCCCCCTTCCACCCTCTAATTTAAGAGCACTCTGCGGTTTTTTCATTCTAAATAACCATTTGAACGATTCGTGCAATAAAAAACCCATCAACGTTGTAGTTCCATACCATATGACATAATCAATAGCCGAAATATAAGAGTCCTCAAATGGCAAGCACTAACCGAATTCAACATTTAAGGTTACGCTTGTATTCGGAAAATACAAGAATTAAAATATCAAAAATTCTGAAACTGAGTTTCTTGAAGCATCACTGAGAATAGAATAATCATTTCCATAAGTAAAAAATTATATAAACAGCATAATTACATAGGAATTCATCAAAATAATATTAAAGTGGAAAAATTATGACATTTTTATTGAAACTTCAGAATTAGGGATTTTTATTATATTTATACTGACAATTCCATTATACGTATGTTATTATGTTTCTAAGTCGGCAGTGCCAAAAACGGCCGATAGTAGGGGCTAGTCAAAATTACAATGAACACTAAAGAATTTGTGTTTATCACCAGAAGTGCAGAAAAACATAAAAATCAGGTTTAGAAAAATATTTAATGCACAAACGGAGATAAAAAAATTTGTTTGTGGACTAAGACTGTTGACGGCACTCAACCCTTGAGCCCCCGAAGTAAATTACACATCTTAGAATTAGAAACAGCTTCAAAAAACATAACTATTACCCAGAAATTATATTAATTGAATGAAAAACAAAAAAGTTATAAAGAAAAATCTATTTTCAACAACTTTAACGGCTCTACAGGGTGAACCCGAATAAGAATAAATTACATAAATTGCAACACTATTTTTGCAAGTTCTATATAAATCCCCGATTATCCACCATTTCCTAGACGCCTTGTACTAAGTACCTTTGTTTTACACAAAACAAATGAAGACAAAAAAAAGACAAAATAAGTGTCAATATTTCGAAAAATGTAATAAAAAAAAATTGGAAATGAATTTTATTTGTTTCTTCTGTAGAAATTGACCATGTAAATAACAAAATGTCAAATGAAATGTCATTTTGAGGACTCCTACTTTAAACGATTACAATAGATTTTCAAATTTTTCATTGATTAAAAACGGCTAATACATACTCAACAGCCAAGTAATCACCATACAATTTGAGAACTTCCACTTTAAAACAAGAAAAGTAGCGAATATAAAAATGATAACACTTACCGCTGCCGCTCAGAACAGACTCCTCCTTATTGTAACCGTATACTGTGTTCTCACTGTAGAATGGCATCGGCATGTACTCCAGCGGATTGTACGTGCCGCTGTATGGCATGTAGTTGGGAACGTTCGGCAAAGGCCCCACACTATCCGTATCGCCCTGTATCTTCAGATTGGTCATCGCCGAACACAGATCGCCAAAGATATAATAGCACTGGAAAAAAAAACTCGCTCATCACAGCACGTTTACAGGTCGACGTTAAACGTACCTGTTCCGAAAACGTAATTTTATTAACGGTGTGCCTTATGAAACCTGCCTTGAGGAGGTGCGACGCGTACTTTCTGGCATCCCGTCTCTCCTGGAACCCCTCCACGTGGGTCAGGAGCCAGTCGATCATATCGGTCCCGATGAAAGCGTTCGGTATCGTAATTTTCAGCCACATCCTGTCCCGGATCTCCAGGCCGCTGTCGGGCCGCTGCATGGCCTGTACAACTTGTGACATGGGCGAGTTTATGGACAGCGGTTCTTCTAGGTCTACGAGGACATAAAAGGTATGTCATGGGGTACGTTTTCAACAAGAAGAGCTTATTTATGAATTACAGTTATAAGAGTATGTGTAGCAACTTCGATGCTTATGACGGCAAAAAAATAATAATATACAGGGTACATTTTTAAGAGCATGCATCATGAAAAGCTAGATTATTTTTTTACGATTTTAAGTTTACAGAAAATAAAATTAAAGCAAGAATGATGATAGAAGCTTCTGTTAAATAAAAAATGGTTTTTCCAAGTAACTCTAAAACGCTTAGCCTCATTTAAATGAAGTTTGTTGTCCTAATACTTATTTGTAGACAATAAACGAAGTTACTGCATTCCTTCTGAAGGACTTCAGTCAGGTTAGTCCAATGAAGTACATACAGAACTTATATATATATAAAAAAAATTGGATGTACAGGGGACTCTTACTCAGTTTCTACGAACTAACACCTTGTCTTGCTTCGCCATAAATTAAAACGATATCCACAAACTCTGAGTTGCTATACGCACAAGCCATTTTTGCATTAACTACTAAAAAAACTTTTGTAAACACTATCACAACGACGATTGTAAAATCGGATTTCAGTATTCGGAGTCGCTGAGGCCACGTGGCTATCAACGTGTATTGCCAATGACGCTAGAGACTACAGTTGTCCAGCTATGTAATGGTCGAAAGTACTGCAACTTCAATAATTTTATTCTCGAAAACTATAAGGATTTTACAAATTTATTTTTACGATATTGACTCCATTTCTCATGCCGCACCTATTCCCAAATTTTTTTGGATAAGTTGTGAATCACCCTGTATATTATTATTATTACATCTTACATCTTTAACGCAAAAATCTGTGCTAGTTAGATGTATACGTAACATTGGGGCACCCTACATTAGAAAAAAAAAACATTTCCAAAATAAAAACAAATAACAGGCCTGCTTCCAAATTCGACAATACAAGAAAAGCACAGTAAAAAAACTTCATGCAAGCTGCAGATGAAATACATAAATAAATTAGCGGTTAGGGCAAAGAATTGCAACAAACACGCAAACCAGTGCAGAAAAAGCGATGTGCGTACATACCAGGACCTAGCAGACACTCACGTTCGTTAGCGGGGATCGTACTCGCTATGGACGAGCTGGAGACGGTGGAGCTGCTCGGCGGTCGCGCCACTGGGTCGCCCCTCACCGCAGCGGTATGAGCCACCCAGGCGCCTGTATTTAAAAATTTAAATATGAAAAATTATATCCGGAACGAATATAAATTCAGAGAAAAAAAGTACCTGGGTCTATGGGCCTCACTGGTTCAGTTCTGGGTATGGTGAAATAGCCTTTGGGGTTCGGATCCCAGCATTTGGCAACTACTAGTTTTATGGGTCTGCGAATAATGACAAAACTATTCAAAAAATTGTGGTATATTGTAAAAATTATACATACAAAAATTTTGGGGGTAATGCCAACCATAAAAATAATGACATAAGTCACTATAACTCTTTTTTCAAATAGTATTAACATAATCATACAACTTCTAATTTTTTTTATATTCGGTACAATTATTGATTATAAATTTGTATTTACTTTTTCAAAAAATAAACCTTAAGATTGTTAAAAAGTTTTACAAGTAAGCAGTCCCAAAGAGGAACAAAGTCTGCAACAAAATTTTTAATTTAAACTGTTACCATTTTTTTAAGAGGGTTCTATAGCAAATAGGCAACTGGTAATACATTTTTATAGATTTTATTACAGAGTTTGTCTAAATATGAATCAATGCACAAATAACAGACTCCATTCTAATGCAGATTTTCTATAAAATAAAGTTAGTTTGAAACTCAAATTACATTTTATTGCAAAGAAATTTGTAATTTGCCGCTTTTGAACAAGCGGTATCGTAAATTACAGATTTCTTTACACAAAAAAGTTATCTGAGTTTCAAACTAACTCCATTTTATAGAAAATCTATGTTAAAATGGGGGAAAGTCTGTTATTTGTGCATTAATACATATTTAGACAAACTGTGTAATAAATTCTATAAAAACGGATTACTCTTAAATGTAAATAGGTCAAGCCTACACAAATTACTCATATTAAAATAAAAGAAGTCTCATACCTCAGAATATTGCGAAATTAAGCCTTTTTGTTTTATTCTAATACTTCTTTTTTTTTCTTTGTTTCACACAATTTTTATAATAATTAGTATTTTATACTCAACTCGTGCTTCATTTATACCGCAACATAAGTAAATTGTTTTTAAGCAATCCAAAGATTTAAATACATTTTTCCTCAGAAACAATTAATGTTACCGCCTTGGAATAAGTGGAACTGTATTAAATATTAAAATGTTCTAATTAAAAAAAAACAGCAAATTTTCTAGACTATAAGGTTCTAAAATGATGATACTTTGGGTGCAAAAATATGAAAAAAATCTGTTACTAAAAAAAAGAATCTATGACAAAATATTTACATTATTAACAAAAAAAAGTTTCCAAGTTGTTAAAATTTTTAAAAAAATTCTTACACCATTATCTTTATACGTAAAATAATCCAATATATTTTTTTTCGCATAGTTTTGAACATCCAATATTTTTCAAAGAATAAAATTAATAAATAAATACATAGAGAAATTAATAAATAAACTAACCGCGTTCAAATTAGCAAAATCTAAAGACTTAACTTACCCCGGTTTCTGTACAACTTCCCTTAACACCTTAACAGCCTCATCGTTGGACATATTTTCGAAATTAACATCGTTAACCTGTAATATCATATCACCCGGTTCTATCCTGCCATCCAAAGCCACCGCCCCACTAAAAAATTAATCATTACAACATTTAAAACAAAAGCAAACCTTGTTCTTACCCTTTCATAATTGATCCCACGTAAATACCCCCATCTCCCCCTTTGTTACTCTGCCCCACAATGGATATCCCGAGGAAATTCACTGTGTCCATATTCAAAGTTACCGTTATAATATTTAGAGACATCGTAGAATCCGTTATACTAGAATATGAACTGGTCCTCGACATCGCCTAAAAATATTTTCAAATGTGTACCGGAAACTTAGCGGTACGTTGACTCATACCTGCAACCTTTGTTTTCTTCGCCTTTGGGGCCGTTTCCTGCCCGCCACATGCAGCCTACTTACGCTAGAACATTCCGACAAGGCCGTGTGTCGACCTGTCGTCTCAGACTGAAAACTGGTCGTTTCCAGGTCTGAACTTACTATAGATGCAGTCTCATATACTCTAAAACAATATTTTTGTTTATAAAATATTCAATAAATATATAAAACTACTTCTGCAAAGTCTAAAGGAACATGCGAAGTACCTTGGAAGATGTCCGTTGATTCTAGATGAGTATTTGTGATGCCGCCTACCCTGTCTCGAACTGATAATACTTTCTGTGTCTGTGCAAACGGATTCGGGGGCTGGCGGAGGCAGGCGGGTCTCCGAAGGGTGTGTAACGCTGTCTGTGCATTGTGAACCACCGTCCGATTGATTTGAACCGTCTGCCGAAACAAGCTGTGGCAAAACAAACACTTAATGTAACACCAGTTACACACAGCAAATTGCATTTAAAAACTGAACTATAACTGGATAAAATTCACTTGAATCCCGAAATGGACAAATAAAAATTAACTTTATAAAAGAATTAGTTGCAATTTTTAGGACGTCACACAAAAAATACTACAAATTAAATTTACGTAAACCAATCTTAACTATTAGTGAAGTAAATTTCTTTTATTCTATCTTATTGCACATATTGATTATTTAATTAAAAAAAAGTTAAAAAGTGTATAAACCATGAAGTACTGGAATATTTAGTTTATAAATATTAGCCTTTATTATTTATTAATTAGCTGCAGCATGTAAACAGATTAATTAATAAACCAACAGACAAAATACTTTGTGCATTCGCACATATAAATATTTATTTTCTAAAGCTGTATTCAAGGTACATCATTAAAAACCACAAATTATAATGTGTCTATTTCATCATATCACCAAAATTCCATGGATTATATCAAGTGAACCCAATTTCGACCCAAAAGATAAGTATATTAAACGTGGATATCTATGTATTATAGTGAATTTATGCAAATTTATCATGAGATTGTCCACATAAAGTACTTTATATCTTATCTACATGATTTTCACTCAGTGTATCTATTTGTCTAGCATTAACAGATATGTTACTTTTATGATTGTTCGTATTTATTTTCAATAAAGTAGTTGTAAATTTTACATACAAAAAATAAATAAATAAATAACACTTTACTAAAATTATTACAAAAAACTTACCCAACTAACCACCCTTCCGTTGAAACAAGGCAGATGTGCTGAATCTTCTATAATTTCTTCTTTGACAACACTAAAATATTTTCAAAATATAATACACACTAAAGTAAATTAAAAGTATTTCTAACTTTCACTTGAGATTATTTACATTTTTACACCAAAGAAAACACTTTCTTTTATAAACAAATATGCTAATGATAGTATAGAGCACATATAATGAGACTAGATAAATATTGAATTATAAATGAAACAAATCAGCTTTTAAAAGTGAAACCAACGAGGTTGAAGCCAAAAAATTATTAGTTGTCAAAAGAATAAATAATTACTGTTTACTTCTAGGAAATAATGGCTACCTAAAATTTTCAATATTAACCGGATATTTTCTTTTACACAAACTATGAAATATATCAATATATATGCGCAAACAAAACATTTAGTTTAACAAGTAAATAAATTGTAAAGCAAGATAATACCCAAAGTCATCATCCATCGATTTAAAGAAAAACTTGTAGTTGGGTCTGTTCAAGACATTCTTAAAATCGGCTAATGTGACTTTATCCGGTGATATTGGTATTTTTACTAAATATGGAGTTTCTTCATCGTCTATGTGATAAATAACTTTAGTTTCTTCCATTTTTAATCACTAATTTATACAAAAATTCTTTTATTTGACAGCACGAAAACACTTTAACACAACATGGCGGACATAATTAAAATCACTTATCCCCACCCAATTTCTCCAAAAGTTGAATGCACACATTTTAGGTAATTTTCGAAAAAGTGGGAAAATAATGGGTGAGAAAATCGAAAATAGTTCATTTTTTATTTAAAAATAACAGTGTTTTACATTCTTAGAATTTATTACAAACTAATTGCATTTTCCCTCAAGAATTATTATCATATGCACAGTTGCACACCCTGACAATACGTCACACGTTGACAAATTGTCCATTGGACGGTGGGAAAAAATGTTTTGAAGGGTGGTCTATGTTTTGAAGCGTATTCTATTGACTTCTTTTCTTAGTAAAGAAGGTAAAATACCAAGACAAACATTAGGTCAAATATTTTCTTTGTGTACTGTAACTTGAGTAAGAATTACTGTTATTTGTAGGGAATGTATTATAGGAAAATAACGTATTTGTATCAGTAAAGTTAAAATCGCCTAGGTAGGTATTATAAAAAAGTAAACATTGTTACATTATTTCAACGTCATTAATTTTTCTTTACTTTACTTCATACTAAACTCAATTTTTAAATGTATTCTAGTTTAAACGAACTTGTTGATTTTACAGAAATATGTATTAACGGTGGTATATGGAATTCATTGAAAGATGTCGCCATCATTGGCTGTCATTTGCAAGAAATAGTTGAGATGTAAACCACCTTAAGTGGTCAAACGTCAAAAAGTAGGTCAATATTTTACTTTTCAATACGTGTGTTCATATGTTGAGAAATTATATGGAATATTTTAATTAATGTCAACGGATAAAGCCATGTAAATGCTAATTGTGTGAATTATTTGGAGATTACTTGGAATTTTCGTTGGTTTACAGCGAAACAATTTTAGAATTTCAAAAATTTTCCCAATATGACAAGGGTTTAAAAAGTAAAATATGGCAGAAAAACTTGGCCTAGGAAATGAAGTGAGAGAATTGAAAATCGGACAGAGCTTTACTAACCCAAAATCAACAGCATTTCATACTGTTAAATGTAAATTTTCTATTTTTACCCGATCTGTCAAAGCCTAACTTCATACTTTTGCAGATGATTTTAAACCAGCCTCGGTTGACACCAACAAGAAAGCTACCGTAGATGTGGGAAGCAACCACCAAGTAACAGTTACTGTACCACATTTAGGTAAGGTATCGGGTAGTATAACAATATAAATTCATATTCACATGTATTAAGCAAATGTTTAGAGTTAGACTTTCGTAACATTTGCCTATAGTATTTTATTTTAGATGGAGCTGGGGTACCCCAAACAGTATTCAAAGGTTCGCAAAGGCCATACCAAAAAGAATGTGTCCTTATTATAGATAGAATAACTGGAGAGATAACTCTAGAAAAATTAGGTTGTAATATACAAGTCAAAAAAACTAGGAGTGAATATAACAAATTACATCTCCCGCAAGGTAAGATACTATGAAATATTTAAAATTCTAAGGTAAGAAAGACAAGGTATACTTCGCATTTACACAAGCAGGGTGTCTGGTAAATAAGTGTCGTTATTTTAATATAATGGAATACCAGGAATAAAAAAGTGCTATAATTTTTTTCTTTGACCAACCACACTGTTGTAGCAACAAGTAGGTTTGTATTACACAGCATTAAAATGCTGGGGAAACGTGAAAAACAGTCCCAATTCAATTAGTATTAGTATTGGTCCTCATAGCAAAATTTTTTATAAGCTTTTTTAAACATTCCTACAAATCCAGCATATGGCAACATTGCATTCCTGAAACCTTCCTTGACCTGACCTAAACCTTAACGCCTTCACCTAACCTTACTGTAAAGTTAGGTTATCAATATTGTGTATTGTAGGTCAATAATCTTGTCAAGGTCTTAAGAACTGTGTTGTTTGAGTCCTTATTTTGCTATTTGTTCAGTTTTTGTAACTTTTTGTAAGTAGTAGACAGAAAATGGACCGTTTCAATAATCGCGAATTCTTGATTTTCGAGCCTGGAAATACCCTTTGAAAATAATGGATGATGTAAACATCCAAACAATTTAGATGCTGAAGAAAAAATATTGAAAAACTTCGAGGAAGATTCAATTCGCAACATTAGACGATAGTCCATAAGACTACATGAATAGCAGTTATACCCCTATTGTGTAACTCATCCAGAGTCTGACAGTGCAATATTTTCTGTGTAGATAGAATTTTTGTGAATCAATTGTTATAGAATCTGCCTGACGTGCAGATTTTCTCTAACAGGTTCTATCAACGAACGAGGCACGCTTTACACAATGCTTTTAGACACATTTGAATAGATGTATTGTCATCCAAAATAAAAATAAATTCAGATAATGGGTTTTCACAGCTGCAAACATGATAAGAACCAATTCTGATATTTTTCATCAAGTCGGACAACTGAATTTGAATATGCAAAGCACTTTGAATGCTTACTTTAAATTTTTATTCTGTATAATGACGAGTTTTAACAAAACACAAAAACTAATTGTAATTAGGTGATGGGTACCTTTTCAAATCATCAAGAGAAAGTACTTTTTTAAGAACTCTTCCCCAAAATTATAAAAACGAATTTGTGAGGTGTGCGACACGCCACATTTCTCAAACCTTCTTATTGTCTAATCTGTAAGGGCTGGTCAGAGAAAAAAAATTGTACAACACTTTTTATTGTTCCCTGTATTCCAACGTTACCTCGTACTAAGATAACGGCACTTATTTACCGGACACCCCGTATAGTGAAAATAAATCTGGTATAAATGCAATTATGTTACCTTTCCAGATAGGTTAAGCCAAGGCAATGATAGATCTGGTACTACTTCATCGAGCCTTCCTTCAAGGTCTCATACGCCGCCTATGCTCGGACACCGAGTTTCGAGCAAAACGAAGGTTGCCAGCGGAAGCCGAAGGCCCGACAGACAAATAACCCACCTGGTGCCAAAACACTCGCCATTACACGCGAGTCCAAGTTACCCCTCTCCGGGACACCATATCAGGAGTCCCAAGAGAGATTTACATAATAATATTAATAACGAGTAAGTATACGTGGTATCCGCGACAAAAAAAAATTTAAAAAAAAAACAAAAAAAACTAGTTCCTGTAGGAAACATAGTAGGGGTAGTTCATGTGTTTTTCTCGTTAACGTTGCATTATGGGGATACAGGGTGTTAAATTTTTTTGTAACTTTGAAGAGAATTTTTCTTAATTATCTTTAAATCAGCTAAAGATAAGGTTGTCAAAATTTGAACGCACAAATATCATCTGTATCTTAAGAAAAACTTGCAAATCATTTTATTCCCAATAGCAGTTTGAGGGAAAGAAAATAATAAAAACAAAATTTCATTGCAAACCCCAAAGGATAATACGAAGACGTATACTAGTTGAAAATCCATAGGACACACATTTTATGAGAAAAATTAAGGTAAAGCTCTTTGCTTACGCAAGACGGTGGAAGTAAATTTAAAAATATTAACTTGAAAAAATATTTTTTTTTTGGTACTATTGTAACTGAAAGTTAATGTGAGCTACAAACAATTTTGCTAATATCTCCTTACATAAATTTTTATTAGATTTAAATTTGTTTATTCAAATTGTTTGCCATTATTACCAATCTTGTGACGTACTAGACTTAGAATTTTATTACAGAAAACTACTATTTGACTATATCTAATCTAAACAAAAGAATACTGAGAGTGGTATGAGATTTTAGTTGAGCCTCCTATTAACAGAAGGCTCAATTATTAAGACAGTCTAGTACATCACAGCTGTTCGCCAAATTCGTTTCACTACTACATTTGTTTTAATTGCCACTTAAATAATGATTTCTTACCAAAATAAACAGATATAGGACAAGTTTTTCATCACATTATTTCAATTTATTTTAACAAATGTTAAAATGTTTTTTATTGCAGTTAACCGCAGGTTGTGGTGTGAATAGTAGTAAACGCGATAATTTTTGGAATAATTTCACATTCAAGGAATAGTTTTACATATAACCATACTTTTTATTTACAGTTCTGAGTTTTATCACAAATCAACGAAATTCGTGGAAAAGTTTAAATTTTCGTATCCACCAATTTTTTTCGCATAAAAATTGCAAATTTCGTTCTACCACTAACCATCCCTTGCAGTTTGTCTACCACTTCTACCAACTGAGAACTTCCATTTCAGGTCACACAACCAGAGCACACTTGCCAGCCTTCCAATGATAGGCATCGACGACTTCTCCGATCCCGTGCCACCCCCGCAGAACATGCTCGCCCCGCTCAGCTCCCACAACTCCCACTCGTCGCTCAACACGACTGAAAAATCTCCCATCGTCATGGCCTCCGACACGGAGAACGGCGTGGGCGAGATGAGTGATAGCACGTCGTCGAGTAGCGACAGCGATTCGGATTCCGATGTCGAGGAGACCGCCAACGCCAATAAGAATATAAATATAGGCAAATCGAATGGGTACAGCAATAACAATTCGACGACGACGAAGATTGCCACCCACCTGCTGAACGAGGATTTATGCCTGTCCGAATCCGGGTCTGACTCGGACTGAATTTTTAGGTGAGGAACTGTTTTTAATAGTTTGATATTCAGAGTGAAACCTAAAGGAGAGAACGCATTAGACAAAATCAGTTGCATTTGGTAATTGCACACAATCCTGCTCTCGCTTTCCTTTAAATAGTTGCGGTATTGTTTTAGTAGTTGAGAAAATGAGTTCTATGGAAGAGGAAGCTCATCCCGATCGCATCGCGGTCTCCCGAAAAAATTGGAGAATGCGATGCGAGCGAGACGAGCTCGGAAATGTCTAGTGCGAATGCATACGTTATAAAACATGGGAAGTAACTCCACCGTGCGCGATCGAGTTTAGCACGGTCCGCGACGGGACCGCGATCGCCTAATGCGTTCTCTCCTTAAATGTGTACATATAGTTTTTTAAACAGGTTTTGATTTGTTTTTCTCTTTCCAGGGCCACACAAGAATAATACTGACCTTTTATTTTGTGTGTATTTCTTAAGACGACTTAACGTGGCAAAGTTTTTAGGTACCGATAAATGATTATTTGTAATAAGAATATTATATATGTATTATGTACAATATCTACAGAAATACAGTACTGCAAGTGTCATATTTTTTCCCTTTATGCAATAAGTCCCAATATAAACTATAAAGTGCTTCGGCGATGATATTCCTTAAAGTTGAAATCAATTTAAAAAATATTTTAAATGGTTCCAATTTGTAAAAACTACTTTTTAACCAGAAAAGCTATTAACGAAATTGAAACTGCCCGAACTGAGTGACTTAAATGTGCCAGATAAAAAAAATGCTCGTATAGAGAAATTTTATTGGGTAAAAATAAAATAAAAATACTGTAAATATATTCGGATAAAATTAAATAAATAACAAATACTATTTCGAGACGAGTCCTTAACTATTTATTAGCACCTGTGTCTATGTTATGCGTTTTCTTCATATGTTGCTTCACGTACGACTTATCGTTAAACTTCTTATCGCAAATAGTGCAGAAGAACGGCTTCTCCCCGGTATGGGTGTATAAATGCCTCGTTAGTTTGTTCTTCGCGAAGTAGGCCTTGGGGCAGATATGACAGATATATTTACGTTCCTTCGAAGGCAATTTGATCTCTCCGATCCCTATCCCGTGAACTTTCGCCATGTGGATCTGCATGACGCGCTTGTCCTTGTATTCCTTCTCGCATTCTGAACATTTAAAGTCTCTAACGTTTGAGTGCGTCCGCATGTGTCGCTGCAGGACGCACTTATCTGTGAACTTCTTGTCGCAAAGGTGGCATTCGAATTTTTTATCGCCCGTGTGCCGTCGCATGTGACAGTCGTAATTCGACTTGATGGGGAACTTTTTGCTGCATATACCGCAGAAATATTTCCAAAACTGCGGGTCTGTGTGAACTACTAACTTATGAGATCTAAAATAAATAGCTCTTTCTAATATGATATTGAATTATATGTAGGATGTCCCAAGATTCCTAGGATCAAACCATAGTTGCTTCAATTAAATGCAAGAGGTCGTCAAAGATGACTAAAGTTGTTCGGTGGTTTTTTCCAAATAAGTCTACACTGACTCTTAAAACCGAGCAACGTCAACAATTAGACGGACCCTCTTGATCTTTATATTTAATGAAGCTAAGTTTATTGATATCATGTTATTTTCAACACAAACAAACAACAAAGAATATTGAGACACCCTAAATTTAGCATTAAATTTTTGTATTAAAGCTCAGAAAAAAATTGTACTGTACCTCAAATCTTTATGAGTATTAAAGCACTTTGTGCATGTCTCACACTTATACTCCCTCTTATTCAAGTGCTGCTTCTCGTGGATATTTAAATCGGTTTTTGTGATAAAGCCTTTCCCGCAGAATGTGCACACATTACAACGAACAGCATCGTGATATTTTATATGCTGCATGAGATTCGACGAATTCCCAAAACGGCTGTTACATCTCGTACACACAAAGGGTCGTACGGTTTTACCTTCCATTCCATGTTGTTCTACACAGTGCTTTACAAGAAGGGTGCTTGAAGCGTAACTATTCGTACAGTGTTCGCAATGAAAAACGAGCACTTTTCGCTTCCTTTTCGTGGAAGATTCTTCTAAAAGTAAAGTGAAATGTTCTAGTTATCTGTGTATATACTAAAAACATGGTAATACTTTACCCTTGATATCTTTTAAATTTACTTTATAGTCTTTGTCATCATCACTACAACTGGCATCATTATCATCATTACAGTCTTCTTCATCATCGTCATCCTCATCTTTTACATCGTTATCAGGTTCGTTCTCTTCTGAACTATCCTGACGATCCTCTGTTTTTACGTAACCTACTTCTTTTTTAAGTAGATTAATTGTATCTAATTGTTTACGAATATTGTCGGACTTTATACAAGTCTCCCGAAATGTATAAACTATGTTCAATAAATTTGTACACTGCTCACATATTTGATACGTCCTAAGCCATTCCTGATAACAGATTACACAAAATTTAACAGTATATGACAGTATCTAAGTATATAATTACGTACAATTTGTGGCATGGTAATTCTGAGTTTTGTGAGTAGTGATATATCGTTGTCATCCTTTCTAGACAATCTATTTAAAGTTAGAGAACTGTTGAGGCAGACACAACATTTCTGCTCGCTGCTGGTCATTTTTATAGTGGTATTCACTAATCACTAATTGGTTTCTTCAATTTAAAATTTCTCATAACCTCAATTTTCCTCAAATAAATTATGAAGATGAAACTCTTTCGTTACTTATGCACTTAACTTGCTACATGTTGTCTTTAATTAATTAAATATATTATTTAAAATTGCAAGACAATTAACGTAAATAAAAGGAACGTATTTACGTAAATTTTCAGGAAAACAAAAAGAACATTTAGGGACAAAACGCCTACTGTCATTGTCGGCCATGAAATTTGAACTACAGTACAGTATCCAGTAGATCTTTATTTCGGAACACGCGAGTGATGCAGAATAATGCACATACTCCACATGTATTTTGTTGGAAAGTTTGGGTGAAATGAATTTTTTATAATTTATTTATGGTTATAAATATTAAATAAATGCTTTTAATGAATGAAAAAAAAATATATTGATTCAGATGATGGATAACATTTCACTAAATATGGATACAATTCAAATACATTCACTTATTTGTTCCACTCATATTTAGATTCTTCGATTATATTATGAGCAGTTTTCAAGTGGTGCTTCAAGTAAGATTTGTCTGTAAATTTTTTATCGCAAGCATAGCAGGGGTATGGTTTCAGTCCGGAATGAGTGCAGAGGTGTCTTGCTAATTTAAGTTTGTCATAAAAACGACTTGGACATATATGGCAAGCGTGTTTCTTTTCCCTGACTGGAATTTTCACATTCCCAATGCCGTGAACTTTGGCCAGATGAACCTCGTATGTGTGTTTTTTTCTATATTCTTTTCCACAAGTTGTACATTTGTAAGCTCTCACGTTCGAATGGTAACTAACGTGCTCCTGCATCTCGCTTTTGCTGGCAAAGGGCTTTTTGCAAAGGGGGCATATAAAGTTCTTCTCGCCTATATGTCGACGCAAGTGCTGATCGTGATTGGATTTTTGTGGGAAACGCTTATTACAGTATTGACATGTATATTTCCACAAGGATGGATCTGTATGTACTATCAAGTGATGGGTTCGAAGATTAGTGTTGGTTTTGAACGCTTTTTCGCATTTGTTGCATTTATAATTTCTTCTATTGAAATGAATACTTTCATGTGCCGTTAAGTCATTTTTCGTAATGAAGCTCTTCCCACAAAAGCTACAAATATTGGTACGGTTTCTATCGTGGTACAACGTATGGTTTATTAAATTTGTAGAAGATCGAAAACGATTATCACATTTTTCACAGGCGTAAGGTCTTATTGATTTTTCCTCCATGGAATGAAAGTTCACGCAGTGTTCTATTACTGATTTCAATAATGTAAATTCCTCATTACAAACTTCACAAGTAAATCTTCTGGAAGTTATTCTGCCTTTTCTTTTTGTGGTTTTGACACTGCCCAAAGCATGTTTTGCATTATTGTGTATTTCATATTCTTCTTGTGTGTTAAAATTTACGAAACAAATATCACAGATGTATTCCGAGGTTTTATGCTCAGATAAAACGTGTTGCCTTAATATAAGTACAGACTTAAAATACTCATCACAAATTTTGCAGAAAAACACATTTGAATTATCCTCTCTGTCTTTTTTGCACCCTCTTTTGTAATGATCTTTTAACGTCTTTAAACTTATATAATATTTATTACATTTTGTACACTGGAATTCTGTTTTTCTACACTTCCGTTCACCTTCACATTTCTTTTTGTGAGCCTTTAATATCTTTTGAGTGGAATAATATTTTAAACACTTATCACACTGGTAATCGGACTTTGCTTTACCGTGTCTTTTAATTCCATCACAATCATACATATGTTGTCTTAAAGTACTTTCAAGAACGTATCTCCTACCACATTTGGTGCACGGAAACTCTTTTACTCTATAAACTTCATTGTCTTCGTGATTCAATTCATTTTCAGTACTGTTTATACTCTCTCTTAAAGCACCATGTGATTTCTTAATGTGGTTTATCAGATCTTTTTTTGTTGTACACTTTTCACCACAATCGTAGCATACATAAAAATCACCACCTTTATTAAATATGGGATGTGTGTCAGCATTAGATTCTTCTTTGGTGGTATCAGTATCATAGTCATTATTCTCATCATCGATGGCGTCATTAGAATAGTTAGTATAGTCAATAATTTCATGTTTCAAATTGTTTCTCTCTACGTTGACCGACAAGCATTGCGCTCTAAATTTGCAAGCATTGTTTAACTCATTTGTACATCTCTCACATATTGCGTATTCACCTAACCATTCCTAAAATTATGCCATGAGTCAGAATAAAGTAAAGAAACATATAAACTAGTGAAAATACCACTTCTGGAGCAATGTACCGCAATTTTTCAGAAAATTTAACATTCGTTTCATCTACTAACGTTATATTCTGTACAGATTTTTTTCTATCTAAACATATTATGCAACATTGCTGTGAATCCATTAGTATCAAGACGTTTTATTTAGAGCAAGTTTCTTCATTAAAATTACTAGAAAATTAAAATAACAATAACACCACTTAATTGCAGTTTACACTTTTAATAACATAACCTCAATCGATTACTTCGTAGTTCATTCTTCATGTAGGTACTTTTCAACTACCTTTTAGTTCTTCTTCTTTGAAAGAAAATTTGGTCCATAAAAGGAAAGAGGTATCTACTTCTAATTTAAAGAAACACATTTTTTATACATGTTTACTTGCGTTTTTATATAATTAAAAAAATGTAAATAATTTAAAAAGAATTAAAACAATTTGTTTAAACATTTATTGTATCGCTTCAAGTTTAGACTGTTCTATAATATTATGAGCGGTTTTCAAGTGATGTTTCAAGTACGATTTATCAGTGAACTTCTTGTCACACGCATAACAAGGAAATGGTTTGAGCCCTGAATGACTACAAATGTGTCTCATCAACTTCTGTTTATCATAAAACTGACTGGGGCAAATGTGACACACAAATTTTTTCTCCCTTATAGTAACTTTAACGTTTCCGATACCATGTTTTTTCGCTAGATGGGCTTGGTAAGTGCGTCTTTCTTTATATTCCTTATCACAGTTGCTACACTTGAAAGCTCTTATGTTGGAATGCATATGTATGTGTCTCTGTAGTTCACTCTTACTTATGAAAGGCTTCTTACAAATATGACATGCGTATTCCTTTTCACCCGTATGTCTTCGAAGGTGCTGGTCATAATTCGTCTTTAAAGGGAAACGTTTTTCACAAATGGAACAAGCGTATTTCCACAAACTTCTGTCGGTGTGCACCACTAAATTGTGAGTCCTAAGGTTTTTATTTGTGTTAAACGCTTTATCGCATAACGTACACTTGTAGTTCCTGCGATTGTAATGTGTATACTCATGCACTGTTAAGTCACTTTTTGTTATAAAGCCTTTACCGCACAAGCTGCATATATGGGTACGGTTCTTATTGTGGTAGTTCCGATGTTGATCCAAATTAGCGGAGGATACAAAACGCATATCGCACTTTTCACACGAGTACGGTTTAATGATTTTTTTATCCATAGCATGTACAGAGATGCAGTGTTCAACTACTAATTTTACGTAACCAAATTCTTCATTACACATTTCACAATTGAATTTTCTTAATGGTTTACGACCTCTCCTTTTTTTAATAACCGGTGCCACTTCAACATTATGTTTAGAAAAATTATGTAAATTAAATTCTAGGATTGATGTAAAATTTATTCGACATTCTTCACAAAAGTATGGACGAGATTCTTCGTTGATTCCATGATTAGTTTCTTCTTTACAAACATTTGTCAATTTATTGTCTACAATATTTAGACATGCTTTATAATGTATCTGAAGTATTTCTTCCGTAGCATAAGGCTGACCACATAACTTGCAATAAAATTTAGAATTATCTTGAACATCATTGTCTGTTAGTTTTGCCCAAGTATCGTAATCTTCACTTACACCTTCAACAGTTTCTTCATCTATCGAATTTCCTAATACTGTCTTAAAAGAGCATAATTTGGGTCCCTTATGTTCTTTTTCAATATGATTTATTAAGTTCTCTTTTGTATCAAAGCTATCATTACAATTATAACAAGTAAATACCTCTTGTGTAATCTTTTTTTTATTTAACTGTTCATTATGAATTTGTAATTTATGTTGTTGAAGTTGAGTTATAGTCGTAAACACTTTAAAACATATTATACAATATACCCCTTTTTTGTCATCAGTGAAAAGTTCTGTATTATCACAGTCCCTATCTAAACAAGTTCCATTCACATTCGTTTCATTTCTCCAGTTTTTTTCACGATCCAGTACAAATCTTTTAAATTCCCAGGCCTTCTCTAACTGTTTGGTACAATATTTACAAATCATGTACTTCTCCAACCATTGCTATGAAAAAGTAACAATAAAACGAAATACAATAAACATTTCAAATCCATACAAAAACAAGTTAAACCACTCACCAGTTCAGGAATTACGTCTTGCAGTTTCGTATACCATTTTACGTTATTTTTATCTGATTTCTTTACACTTATAGTAGATATACGTTTTTTCAAACAAACATTGCATTTTTTCATGTCGGCAATATTTATTTTTCTTTTTGAAGTCACCTAACCCAACTTTTCTTTACAATTGATCAATATTCTTCTTCTACTTCTTTAGTTGATCCAATTGTCCAATGTTTCTGGATTAGGTGAGTTTGAATTTTAATACTTGTAATATAAAATTCGATGTCTATATCATCATCAGTTATGTTGCGTTATGTCTTTATTTTTCTTTGTAAATGGTTTCTTTTTGTTTTGCAGTTGCAACAAAAGATGCATTAATTCATAAATATAATATGGACACATGTAGCACATGACATATGTTGGTTGTTAGACACTGAATCGTGATTTAGACACATTCACTGTTGACAGTTGTGTGTTTTGACGTTTGACAATTTGGCATTAATATTAATTAATAGTTTTTGTTGACAAATAGGTAGTAATAGGGTAGTAATGAACAAAAGTAATTTATCGTCATTTGTTAGTTGATATTGAATTGGAAATATAATTTAATTTTATAAATTATTTATTACTTTCTATCAATTAGAAATGGATAATGGAGATGAAAAAACTAAAGAAAGTACCTGTCAAATTCTACACCTCCCTGAATGTGTTTTGACGGTTCTATTTTCTTATTTGGATTCAACTAGCCTTTACCAGTTAACACGGTAAATGTTGATAATAACATTAGGGTTATAAATTTTATAATTTCTTCATTTCAGGACATGCCGTTACTTCCACTACTTCATTACAGATCCCATATTTTGGCGGTATATAGATGCCAGAAGGAATCCAAATACTAACGATAAAGTTCACTATTGCTCTGATAGAATCCATGAAAAGACCACACATGTTTTGTTAAAGGCTAAGGATAAAACTAGTGGGTTGGTGCCCTATAATTTTTTCACAGTTATTAATCCGTTTAAAAACATTAAGGTTTTAGCACTGGAAAACCAAAGATTTCATGGATCTAAGGTAGTAATAAGAATTTCTAGTTATATTCATTGACGACTATATTTCGACTAGTTGATAAATCAATACCCGTGCTAATTATATAATTGTTTTTAGTTAACGTTAAAGGAGTTTCCTCCTTACCTTGAAGAACTGAGCCTTAAGGGAACCCATATCAAATCATCAACTTACTTTTTTCAGCATTCGGGTCAGAATATGCAGAAGTTGAGGGTAAGCCAAAATTTTATTAATACAGAGAGAAATTTTACCTATCTTATTTATAGGTATTGATCCTTGATCAATGCCAGTGGGTGACATGTAGTTTTCTCATGTCGGTCGCAAAATATGAAAGTTTAGAAATCATATCAGCTATAAAATGTCTAAGACTACACTTAAACATGATACCTTACCTAAATGTAGCTCGTTATGGGTGTAAAAAACTAAAAACATTCGACTGCAGGTTTACCAGTGAGTTGAATTTTCCAAAAGTGTAAGTTATTCCAATAGGATTTTCAACTTTTAGGTATTGGACACGAACTATTACGCACATTCTATCCAAAAGAGTCGCTACAGTCTCTGTACTTTCAAAGTTTAAAATCGGCAGAGGTAGATTACAAGGAGTATATATTCAATCAGTCGTATATGCGTGCAGAATCATCCAATCGATCTAGAGAAGGAGACAACAGTGTTTGCGACGAGAGTCTTTTCGAATATATAAATTTGTCCGCATGCGACATTATTGACAAAACCCCAGAAAGTGTATTATATAAAGATCCTTATCCCGAATGCACGTGCAATTGTAATAAGAAAGATGAGTCGTGTAAGTGTTAAATGAAATATCGGGCATAAGTGTCTTTTATTGAAAATTTAACATAACGAAAGTTAACTGTTTGAATTTTAGGTCCACCACCTTTGGTTAATTTTGATGAATATTATGTTTGTATGCCTCCAAGGCGTAAATCAATAAAATTCGTCTGTCAAAGACACATACAAGATGTCGAAAAGCTGTCACATCACTTCAGGGAATTCTTTCTCAGTAACCAACATCAGTTTTATGCAGGTTGTGGAAAAAATATTTTTGTTAAGTTTTTAAAATATTAATTTGTGTGTTATTTACAGACGTGAAAGCTTCTGAAGTTGAAAGCGAACCGGGGTCTTCCGATTCGGAATCGGACGACAATTGTGGTACTTGTTGTATGTACGGCATGGGCAGAAGTATGATCCTGCTGAGTCCCGGCAATAACCCAGGTACGATTGAGGAGGAAGTCTTAGAGCTGAATCCCGACGAACGCGAACAAGGAGGAAGAGTTGTTAGTATATTCATATCGACGCCACAAAGAGACGGTTTCAGTAATAGGTGAGATACCCACATTTAAATCATTAAACTGGCAAATAATAATTCTGATTCTAGTCAAAATAACCCGAATCCTATACCGAGTACTTCTAGAAGTGTTGAAGATAACAGCATTAATGAGAATTTGGAGAATACGAGGAATGAGGCGAAGAGGCGGTTAAGCGAGGACAAAGATCCGGAAGATGATGAACAAAGTAAAAGCAAACGTCCGAGACGAAATGAGGACTTGAAGCAGCTGAGCGATGAGGCCAAAGCAGCGGAGGCCAGCGAATTGATAGAGAGTGCCCATAAAATGGGGAAAAATGTGAACGAGTTCCTACGAAATAGTATGGAGATTTGTAATAAAAGTATAGGTTGTAGGGATAGAGGTGCTTCTACGTCACGGTAAGTCGCAATGGCAATAAAATTAACTAATGTTGACACAAGAACACTAAAGATAGCATTGACGAACATTTATAGACATATTTTATGATTTAAATTATAGATTTTTTCCAATAAGCGTTGGGTATTAACAGGGTTTCCTTGAAATACACGGTTTGGTTATTAAGTTTTAAGAGTGATTTTATTGTGGTGAAGTGCGTGGCGCTATCTAAGTGCGGTCACCAGAACGACATAGTGGGAAGCCTTCTAAGTGTCCAAACAAAATTTCATCAATATACGTATACCTACCATGAAGTTATAACGTTTTGCGTGAAGCTAGTTTTTGATAGTTGTCAAACGCACATTGATCAGCATACAGCAATCAAGTTCTGTTTTAAAGCTGGTAGAACAGCTACGGAAACGTATGGTGAGGAGTGTGTATCACGTCCAACTGTATTCCTGTGATTTGGGTGGTATCGTGACGGCCAGACAGCATACACGACGACAAGTGGACAGGACGTCCCTACACAAGTCGAAAGAACGAAAACATTGAAGCTGTGCCTCTGCGTTGAAATTTATTCATCGATCAATCGTAGTTCTGATGGTTAATTATAGTCAGATTTCAGTTCGTTCATTGGATTATGCAGGGACACCCTGTCTTTTCATCTTTGTGCACGCTGTTTTGACCGTCGCAAAACCTTCCGAACCACAAGAACACAATCAGACGTGATATACACTCCTCACCATATATTGCTTGTAACAGTTGATACGTTTCCGTGGCTATTTTACCGGCTTTAAAACAGAACTTGATTGCTCTACGCTGTTCAATGAGCGTTTAGGTGACAACTATTAAAAACTTGCTTCACGCAAAATGTTATAACTTCGTAGTAGATATACGTATACTGAAATTTTGTTTGGTCACTTATTTCTTAGATCTTTCTAAAACAAGATCTTTTGGCATTAAATGATGTCTGTCATAATAGTCCAGGGAATGAAGAGAAAAATAGGGTAAAACCTCCGAATACTTTAGGATAGATCTAATTTTTATGAAAATTTGGAATTAAGCTTATTTCACCCTGTAGATGAAGTTATGTATGCTTGATATGTGCTTCTTATTTCTAGGGGATGAAAACCAACTCTTATGCTAAGAAACTGAATAAATATAAAAATAGATGTTATATAGACTAAAATCATCTCTTAATATATAGAATAAATATTGTTTTATAGTGTGGGTTATAATTCACGTTATTTTTATAAAGTTACAACCCTTAAAAACCACCCTTAATGATAAAAATATAAAATTAATAGTTTATCGACCTTAAAATATTTTTATAGCGCATACATTATAGATAGAAATCTGTTCAATAGTTTATGGTATTAAATAATCTGTTACAATATTTCAACCCTTGAAAAACTGCCCTTAATAACAAAATATTTAAAAAAATTGTTTTTAACAGTTTGAAATGATGATTATAATACAATTTATAATTTATCGCATTGTTTTAACTCTTAAAAACCACCACCATTGATAAAATATAAAAAGAAGACTTTTAAATTATTTAAAATGGAATTATAATGCACTCCTATAGTGTTTATAAGATCACTGGGTTTCTTAAAAATCACCCTTTATTATACAAATAAAAACAATTTTATACATTTGAAGTTGATAAGTAGAATTATTAAAAGATTAAAGGGAAAAAGTGAAGGTATTCTATGTATATAGAATGCTCCAAAGTTGTGGGTAACCAAAATATTGATATGCTCCGAAAATTGAAGCGATAAGGTACCGTAGGTTTTTAACGATAACTTCCTTAATTTTAAAGCTATTAAGACCATCCAAAAACGATTTTACGAAAAATTTCGACAACTAAAAGTATTGTAAAATAATTGAATATTTTTTAACGCATTATTTTTGAGATTTTTGAAATTAAAGGGTTTGAAAAACATTACCTTCGCCATCAACTGCAAACTTCTAGGAGAGACATCTCTGTTAATTTTTATCCTACACAAATAAAAAATAACCCAAAATATTCTGTGAAAAAAAATGTAAACTTTTGAACTCTTGTATATTTTTCGTATCTTATTTATTTTTAGTTATTTTCAAAAGTATGTTATTTATTTTGGAATTAAAAAAATTTTTCTTCAATCAAAACGTAATATTTTGAAAAATATGCATTCTAAGTCGCTTAAACTTGTATAATATATTATTAGCACATGTAAATTGGAGAAGGACCTTTATTTTTAAATCTCGTGAAAAATTCATCAGTTTTTGTACTGATTTTTTTGTTCAAAAAAGTGAATTAACAGTTTTATTTTGATCATAACTCTGTTAATTTTGATGCTAATGATCTTAAAGTCGAGTTCATTTTAAAGATGTTTTAAAGTACTTTAAAAAACGTTCTGTGCATTTTTCTAAAAAAATATAATTTGTTTTAGTTATTTTATGTTAAATGCTTCCAATTTAGTTTCTGGCGGACGTGAACTTATCTTCAACCAGCCGTATCGCAGCATCTATTGCACCTACATAAATGAAAAAAAAACTTAATCTTTTTCTTTTTCTATAAGCTTCATTTTCTTCGTGATGTTTTTTTTCATAGAATGTCTATTTTCCGAGTTATTCGAGAAAAACTACTGAAAACGTCTTTTTTTTAATATAAAATTGACATTTTCAATCACCAATAACTCGGAAAATATTGATTTATCGAAAAACGTTCATAAGATACTTTTTGCTTAAAATTGATTGCTTTATCGATTCCTGGGGTTATTTTCAATATTTTATTTTTCAGCCCCTAGAAGGGCTTCCACCCTCTGGGCAAAAGGGCTCATCGGCACTGTACAACTTTTGTTTTCTTGAGCTATTTTCTACTTACATTCCAAGTTTCACGTCAATCGGTTCTATCCGAAAGAATTTGGAGGGGAAACCCTTGGTTCCCTGGACTATAAGAATAATTTGAAACCTTTTTTTTTTACTTTTTTTAAATCTTTATTTAAAAACCTTTAATAATAATCTAGAAAAGTCTTTAATGAGATCAAGTTTCTACAGTTTTAAATCATGATCTTTTACTACATACTTTTTGTGTATACAGAGTGTCCAGGGGTTGTAAAAATAATGTCACGATTTCATATAATTTTTTATTATTATGCCTTTACTGTTATGCACAATGAAAAACTAAATAAGATTTTGACTTGCAGTGGTTCTTAGAGAGGACCTAATCAAAACTGATAGATATAATGAACTGTTTTAGGTAGTTTTTGATTTTTTTTATTTTAGCATTGAAGACTTAGAAACAGGAAGTGATAATACAGTAAACCCTGTAGAAAAAGCCCCTTCCAATGCAGACGTAACAGATCCTGGTGTAGCTAAAAATATTTTTGAGGATAAAACTGGTGTAGCATCTACCTCAAAGGATTGTAGCTCGAGTAAGCCACCAGATGTCGGTGAGTCATCAAGGTAAGACATTTACGAAGTAATTCATATTTATAAAAAGTTTCCCATTGAATGTTCTCTTTAAAAATCGGTCAAAGGTCATGAAGAAAATCAATGTAAATTGTTTATCTTTATGCTTATTACATTGATATGTCATTTTAGTTCTCAAAACTCTAGAGGTACACAAAATAAAAGGAGAAGTAGGCTTCAGGAGGCAAAAATATATATAGTCAATAATAACCAGTCTAACGATGCAAATGTCAGCTCTAATAATAAAGCAGCTGAAGAAGGTGAACCGTCAAGGTAAGCAAAACAAGAGGAATGTATTTGTTGACGTTTGAAGTCTACAATTTTCATATTTATATTAAAAGTATCATTTTAGGCAACCAGTCGGCAATAACGCACCAAGAACAGCCATAATCACGATACGAAACAGAGAGAGAAGCCGATATGTAAACCCGTTGTTTGTACAATTTGAGAATAAGCACATTAAGAAAAAATCCCGCCTCCGCAGGTTGTCCTTACGGGGATTTCGGAGGATCACCAATGTAGCTCTGGACTACATAAAAAATTTAAAATTAGATCTAATAGACTTAACCTATACCAGCGTTACCAAGGAAGGTATAGAAAATTTTCTCGCTTACAATCCAAACTGTAGAGTTATTCATCCTTTATATTGCATTTGTAAACCATTAAATCCTTTTTAAAAGGTTTTGTTATTTTTGTAATTTATAAATAAATTTTTATTCTCACGTTTTTCTGTTCCACTAACCAGTATATTTCTTATTTATTCATATTTTTTATATTTCACAACACACTGAATGAAAAACTAAAAAGTGACTTAAAATTTTTCTTTTCCAAAAAATTTCAATCAACTCCAGCCAAGTAAAGCGAAATTTCAACAACACAGTTAAAACAAATTAAATCATAAGGTAATTTTATTGCAAACTTTTCACATAAAAAAGATACTGACTTAATTATACTTAAAATTTAGGGAACGTACAAAATTCAAAGAGCTAGTTTGATTTCTCCTTAAATTTAAATCCTAACCTTGTCAGTTCTTCTCTAGCTTCTATGATTTCCTAAAAATGAAATTTTCTTATCAAAATGCAATAATTATACCAAAGTGACTTACCCTTTGCAATTCCTCTGCAGCTTCTGGGCAGTCATTAAAAGTAAGTGTTCTATATATAACAACGGTTGCAGCATATAACTAAAAAAAGAACTCATCGTAATCATACCTTTGTCTAAAATAAATATAATATAATTCAAATAAAGGATACTTACACCAAATAGTACAAGGCAAATTAGCGGCGAGTATAAAATTAAACTGTAATTCTCAGTTATAAAACTACTCTGTGTTTTGCTTGTAATTAGATAAAACCAAATGGCGAAAAAGATTCCCAATGCTGAAAGCCACTCTTGTAACTTCGTCATTTTATTTTTCAAGTTTTTCAAAACACTTCAACACGAAAATTGAGGTTAACTTTGAATGACAATAATGACATAGAAGAGGACGTGTTTTTTTCTGGTAAGAACCTAACAAACAAATAGTTACTAGATGACGTTTAGTTTTATTAATGCCAACTTTTAAAAATAAGTGGGTAGTGCTGTTTTTGACTTGACAAATGTCAAATGTGTTCCATTGTGACAAATTTAAAAATTAGGATATGATAATGAACAATATTTTGTTTAAAGTTCCAGTGAAGGTATTATGTTGTAGAGTCTTCGAAAATTATCTATGCAGGTTTTAACTTGTTAATTCCATTGGAATTACCTGGATTACTAATCTAGGCAAATAACCCAGTGAAAAGTATTTTCTTTTAATGAATTTTTTATGTAATTGTAATTTAAATACAATAAATTACTTTAATATACTTGACACTATCAAACGCATTCAACAGTGATTAAAGTGTTTAAACTAAAGCAAATAAGTATAACCTATAAAGATAGCTCCTCGTAAGATAGTCTATTTAAATACACTACTTCAGAAAAATGGAAAACGGTGTTGTAAGATTTATCTTAAAAGGTATTTTAATTGCCTTAATTTTTGTAAACCCTGGTTACAATTTTACAATATAATTTTAGATGGTATCAAGAAGTCTCCCAAAGATTTCGAAAACTTTAAAGTACAAATTCAGAGAATTGACGGGTCAGTGGTTCAGTTGCCTGCAGATTATTCTTATGTTGACATTACGATACCTGAGGGAAATTATAATATAATTAAGTAAGTAACATTTTTATTTTAGTCATCAAACTTTTATTCTCAAATAAGCTTTATTAACGTATAAAATGAATTTTTGTTTTGTAGTTTCAAACTTATTTAAAAACATTTATTTAACTATTAGTTTTAAATTAGCTATTCTAGAAGCAATCAATAACATCAATAAAATTATGATAAATGGGTATAATAAGAGTTATGCCAAGTTGTTATGAAACAACTAAAGATTATCTACATTTAAGATTGACTGCGTTATTTTGTTAAACCTAGGTCATTGTCAAATCGTCAATAAACATTATTCACTTATCTAGAGTACATTTGCACTATCTGCAAGATGCATTTTCTTATCAGGACACTATCTTTTTGAATTTAAGATATAAAAACAGTGCGAAATTTAAGAGCGATAGTTTTAATCTGTATATAAAAACATTATTAATATCAGAAGAAGAAGATGAGTATCAGAAAGATATAGAAATAGTATATAACAGAGGAATTTTAAGAAATACATTCATATAACATTTTTTTTGAATTTGAATGTAAATATTTTTGCTCCAAAAAATTAAAATGTCATCTAGGAACTATTTTTATTGATGAGAGATAAACCTATCGCATTAGAGATATTTTCTTAGAATATTATTCATTCCATTTTTAATATTCCTTGTAACGCACAGGCTATTATTTAGTCTTATCACTTTTTAAAGTACCTAATTATAAGCGAGTGATTATTAGTTTTTATCAAAAATAACCGTGTTAGTGGGGAACGGTGATAAGTTTCCACTTACAGTCTTATTCTGAACACCTTCGAGACAGTCATAAAGAATGTGTTAGTTATTGGTAAAAAATGTGATTTTTTTGTGATAATTGAATGAATGTGAATAATGTGGACTGTAAGATTTTACAACAAAATGTTTGCGGAATTTGTGTTGCATAAAAGGTAAGAAATAATTCAAATTAACAGACGCTCATTAAAAAAAATGCAAAGCTATTTTTAACCGAATTTGTACTTCTGGTTGCATATATTAGTTATGATCAATGTGTCAAGCATATCTAATTTGCCTATTTAAATTTTATTATTATGCCATTATGTTTCTCCGGTTAATGTAACATTTAATTACTTGTAATGCAAATTACTTTCATTTTTGCTAAATTAGGGTCATTTTCATAATGATGTTAAATACTTTAAAATTTGAAGATGCTTCTTGCGCATATGTGTTAAATAACTTCCTTAAGTTCTATATGTTATCCTTTAAAATAGAGGAATATAAAAATTTATGAATACAGGATGTAATCAATATATGCCTGCTCACACTTTAATAGCGGAATCTGGATTACAAATTAACAAAAAAATAACCTATTAACTATGAATATGAGTCTAGAAATAATTATGTTTCAAGATATGGAATGTTGAAAATTAATTAAAAGGTATATGATTTATATGCTGCAAAAAATTAGTTGGCGCAAGTTGTGCAATCGAAATTTTATTTGTTTCGTGAATCATGATTATTTAATTATAAACAATTACTTGTATTTTTGAATCGAATTTTATTCTTTTTCGATAAGATCATTAATTCCTATACAGCAACCACATTTTTGATAAAATGTAACCAAAAACTATCGTACTAAATCATGGCCGGTTATAATTAATGGTACAAATTAAAAATTCGAAAAATAAATTGTGAAAATTTACAATATTTTGAAAATTCCTTGTTATAAACTAAAAATGTTATATTCGAAATATTATGGCTGTAATTGACTTTTAATAAGTAAAAAAATTTAAAAAACAATGCCGTACATTTTTAACAAGTGTTTTTTACATAGGTAGCTGATAATATTTTTCATTAAATTTTTACTACATTTTTAGGTCATTAATAACTATACGGCATTTACAAATTTTCATCGGAAATATAACATAAAGAATGAAGTACATATTCGTTGGAACAATTCTCCGAAACTGTATAAGTCCAAAATGAGTTTTATCCTAATTTCAAGAGAAATTTAATTTATACCGTAGAAATTATGATGGCATTGTCTTTAAGTAAAAAAAAATTGTGTATAGAGAATTGAGAAAATATTTTGAGAAATGTATAAATTTAAAGGCGTGCAAGAAGAATTTTTAAATAAATATAATAATAAACAAATAATTTTAACTCAATATTCATGAGAATTCCTATATAAATACTTACATTTAAAACAGTGATATAATATATGTTTTGAAGTAACAGTACCCTCGCATTTGCATATTTGCAACTTCTGTTACAATTGTTTGAACTATTTATTTATGCAAAAATTGTGATGAAGCGATTGGCATACAATATATTATGTTTAAAATTAGTAAAAATGATTTAAAAGTGCATTTGTTACAAAAACAACTTAAAGATTGTCGGTTATAAACATGAATAAAACCACATAAAAATTTACATGCCGAAAAGAAAAAAGAGTCAGAGAAAGAAGATGTTTCGATGGCCTTCTAGAATCTCGAAGCGGTGATTTTAATTTTAAAATAAAAATAATTTCAAATTTTTTTTTAAATATTCGAATGCGGATTTTTTTATTGATTTTTTAATAATCTTTTTGATTTTGAAAAAAATTTACTTATGTACTTGTGAAAAAAATTCATATATATGCTTTTCAAATTTATAACATTAATAATGTTTATATATACCTATGGTTTTTTAACTTACTTAAAAATTATTTTACATCTCAAATAATGTTTTNCGACAAATATGTACAGCATTACTGAAAAATATTTCTATATGATATTGTAAGTCTTATTATAGAAAGGTCGTACAGTAGTAAATAATTTGTATTATGGAGAAAATAGTAGTAAAAATAAATTCAATTCTTGCAACTAATACTTATTTGCAAAAATATATTTCAAGCCATTTAGAACCATTTTTTTGTACGCCATTTTGTTTTTGTTGATTATTATTGTCAGTATTAACAAAATATATTAATGCCGTACAAAAATTGTTCACCGTTAGGATCCTACTTTTCAGAGGGAAATTAATTTTCCTATAGTAAGCACATGTTTCATGAAAAATGTACGGCATGGCCAAAAATGACATTATTTTATAAAATAGAATTAAAATTAGTGAATTTGATGTTGGTTCAAATCACCCCCCATGCGCTACTTACAAATAGAGGGTTGCACCCTGTATTCCTAACCCCTGTATCAGCAAGTACGTACGGCGTCGCTTAAAAATTTATGTACGTATCAATCCGAAACTTGCAGTATAAATGCCGTATTGTAATAAATCACCAAAATCTGGGCCAAAATTTTCGGAAAATCAAAAATTTTCCTGGCTTCCGGTATTGCTATATCGAGGTTCATTTTTTTGTATAACCTATGTACTTTAGAAATACCATACAAAAATGTTTTGCCGAAAACCACCCCCCCTTGTTGGACAGGTTTAGCTTACCTGTGTACTCACCTATACCAACAAGAATTGACGGCATAGTTTCTAAAGTTATTGTTATATGTGGTAGTATTGATTTATAAGTAATTCATGCTGGGTCAAATGACCCCGTGAAAATTTCCGATGGGCTTGTAGTCTATATGTCTCGTCTTACCCCCATTATTTTTCCAAATTCCATATACCCCCTCGAATTTTTTTTTTATTCATTTTTCCTACACTACATTTTATTCAGCGCTAACAGCATTTAACTGGAACAGTAAACAGTCCTTTCAGTCAGTCCCTAGCCAGTCGACCGTTCCAAGCAAATTCCGGTTCCGCGTTATCCTTGCGGCAATCAAGGACATTCCCTCGGACATTCCGCATATCTCCGATCCTTTCATTCTCCTCGCTGCTAATTAATCTACTTGCTCGCCAATTAAAACTGTTACAAATGGAGCGTACTACCGCCGAAACGGGGGCGATCTCGTGACTCCAGTTTTACTTTCATTTTAGAAACGGCTATTGTTAACGTTCTTTGGAATCGCTGCGGATATGTGCACGTGAAACTACAATCTACGATGAAAACGGACCCGAATGAGATCAGTGGTGCGGCGTGCTTTTCGTTTCGGGAGGTGTTTGATGTGTTGATCTTGGTGTCGGTCGGTTGGAAGTGTGTTTATGTGGTTCCGTTTTATTTCGGGTGCCTCAGATCTGTGCTTGAACGGTTCGCTGTTTGGAGAAAAAAGGAACATGTTTTCTTTCGGGAAAAATTGGTATGTGTATGTGACCCGCGAACTTCGAGTTTTCTCTATCAATACATGTACAGGGTGTGAGGATGACGTTGCGGCAAACTTTTGAGGCTTATTCTTCTCGTCAGAACAAACAAAGGAACGCGAATTGCGTTTTTTTTAAATATTACTAATGGTTGACTACCCTATATTGATAAAATAGCGCAATCGCCGCTATTCCCTTCACAAACCTTGAAATATAAATGCCTTTAAATCGCAATTTTGGTCAACATGCCTGAATTTTTGATATAAGTTAGTTTGAGGTATATAATTATAATAATTGACAGTAATTTTTTTTCTACCACCTGCCAGAGGTGAAAAAAGGTAAATTAAAGGGGTTTTTCAAAATAACTCAAAAAGGGTAAAAGCTAGAAAAAAGTATTTTATAAAAGTTGTAGAGCATAGAATTCTACATAAAAATGGTCTATTGACTTTTTCTTGTACTATTAAAATTAACAGAGTTAGGGAGACTAAAATTTAAGGGATGATTTCAGAAATTTAAGAAATCATAACAATCAAAAAATTAACGAATTTTATATATTTTTTTCAATATACTCTAAAAAATGTAAACTTTCTTTTCAGAGAAATAGATAAGTATGTTTTTTAATTTTAAAAAAAAAGTTATAAATTAATTTTTATGATTTAACACTAAAACAATTTTTTTCTATGCCATTCGATTGATTATATAAAATACGATAACAAAAAATCACATTTCCTTTGTGAAATTGTTGACTTATTTTATTAAAAATAAAAAAATATATCTTTTTCTCTGAAAAGATAGTTTACATTTTTAAGAGTACATCGAAAATAAAATTATAAAATT